CGGCTGGCTGATTCGCAAGGGGAGAAACGCATGGTTTATTAGCTAGTATGATCTTTTACTGTTGATATCATGCTATTGGTTGTGATTACTCAGCTTTTATACGAGTATTTTGCTGTTGTTAAGTTGCTATTTATTGAAAAATACTGGATAGATATTTCCTCATACTTTGGTTTGATGGTCATCCATCGATTAGGAGGAACAGCTCTTTTCCTTAACAATAACTAATTTTTTTCTTAACAACTTTGCGATAAAATGTGTCTTTTACATCAGTGTGCACATTTTTTTGAATATCTCTGTAGTTTTATAGACATTAAAGGCGAAGAATGGATTTGTAAAATCTCAGCGAATAAATTTGAAGGAAATTAATTTTTATAAAGACGTTCATAAGTAATATTCATACGTAAATAGTTATTTTTAACTTGCCAACACTCTTCTTTTGACACATTGGTATCCAAAGACTAACGTTTTTATGCTGCGAATGTCTGACGGAATACTTGAAACATTTTAGTCCTAGAAGTATTCGGTTGGTGTCGTCAATCACAAATCAAAATGTGCACATAGAGTTCTCTATTCTTATCAATGGCTTTGCTCAGTTCTATATCTTCAGTACGATATGGAATTCCTAGCACGAATATTCCGTCGGGTTTCTTTTAGAACCAAACAAAATCGACAACAAACATATTGAAGTGATATGAGTTGATAAACATTTAGAATCAAATGAAAATTTTTTACGAAAATGAGAATATGTAAAACTTCTGGTGAGAAATGTTTTTAGGAATACATGATTCTAAATAACTGCGCTTGTATGACCGGTTCGTCACATAATGCATTTGCCATATACGGCATTGTAGATCTTTTACATCCTTGTTTGTGTCAGTGGATTCCAATATTTCGACGTTTCGTTCTCCCTGAAGACATAAAGAAAAAGATGTAAATGAAGTTAATGATTAGTATCTGATAGCTTTTTACAAGAGTTTGGAAGATATTAGGTGCCTGTTTATAATCATATTCATAATGACTTCAAAAAACTCACTTTACTGCCTACTTTCAGAACTCTCCACTATCCAGTAAAAACTTTTTCCAAAATCGCGGGAAATAATAACGATGTACAACGAAGAATGGTTGATAATATATAAGATTTTACAGATCGTAAAATTGATTGCTGTGTAATTCCATGTAGCTTATTTATGTGATAAATCAAACGGAAAATTTTCTGCTATATAGATAAAACGAAAGAAAACCAAGAGAGAGGAGAAGAAAAACTTACACCGATACCAGTAATCTTTAGCTCTGTTTTACTACGAAATTTCCAGTGGTACAGGTTTCCTGAAATTTCAGACAGGGTATTAAGTGCTGTTCACATCTCACGCTAAAATTAACAGTTTGGCATTTATAAGGACCTAGCTTAGGACCAACAGCAATAAAAACTGTTCAATGAGCGATAGGATTTCATCCAGTCCAACGAGATTTAGGCAAGCAGTAGTAGTTGCACATAAAGTGATAATAATCAACATTTTAGCAATATTATTTTTCTTCATATGACAGATCGTAAGAAACAAGGAAAGAAAAGATGAACGAACAGCCACTTCTATCGAGTCTCATTGAGTCAGCAAAGATTTTGAATACTTTCCTTTAAGCGCAGTATAATATCCACTTCCATTTAGGTAAAAACATTGCCAACTGGTTATCCAGATGTCGATATTAACTCTGGAAAACAAATGGTGGTTTTAAAAGATTCGATGGATGAAGTATAGTCTAGAAATGCAAATTGAACACAGTTCCTACCCTTTTCCAAGCTGAACACTATATCAAGATACAGAACAATAGCAGCATCTAATGTACTTCCTTTGGATTGGTAAACAAACTGGTATGGATCTATGTGCTTTCTGAATGCAGACCAAAGTGGGAGTGGTAAAAGGTTTTCCATTGTTTTGAGGAAAGTTTAAGTCAGAGAAAAGAAACTTTTTAAAGATTTTCTAATGTGGTTGCGAATTCTATTGGAAAGCACTGATGAAAATGTAAAACTCCTACTTAATTGTGGAGGAAATACACTCTTTGTACCTAAAAGGCGGTTTATAAGTAACGTTTCCTTATAAGTGACACTCATATTTATGTAGTATTTAACTATGGAGTTATAGTGTTGTGGTTAAAGGAGAAGCGAACTATCACTGCCCTCAAACGAATCTGAAGGACATAAACACTAACAAAACAGATTGAATATGTTTAGAGTTATCTATATGGGAACGCTTGAGATGTAAGTATATTCAGTCATAAAAATACATCAATCGGAATTTAAAAAACGACAACTAGACACTTATGGATTTCTAACTATAAATTCTCACAGGCGTTGTTTGGTGCTTAGGTATAAGAACTTACTAGGTAGTCAAAAAATGTTTTCCGGGATGCCAATAGACATTGTACTTTTATTTATTTAGTTGAGCTGAAAAATAAGGCTTTATATGTTTCAATATTTTTGTTACTAGAACAGAGCTTATGTTATAAACTACTATTATTTGTGATAAAAGATGATTTTAAGAAGCGCATATATTTCAAATATTAATATCAAACTGCCATTCTATATTTCAGAGCCCACAACTACTAAAAAGTCATAACACATGACGCAGGCATAAATATTCAGTCCGTCCCTCTATCCTAGTATAAGGGATTTGGCTGCGAGTGTCCGGCAGACCCATTAACTCTTACTCAACTGACCTGTTCTCATGCATATGACACTTGGCTAGTATGACCCTGTCAGCAAACACCCTGAATGATGAAATATCCTGGTCATCGGATTATTGTGTGTGAAGCTTGTAAGTTTTTTAATACCTGGCTTCAACAAATTACTGTGTAGCTTGAAGGACAGTCTTCAAGTTAAAAGAAGGTATGATTAAAACTAGCACAATAAGGTCATGGAACAAATCATTTACTTTTGTAAAACAATGCGTCTGAATTGAGGTGCCATTAAAGCTTAGTAGTAGGTAAAGTTTAAATGGTTTCTAAGAACGAAATAACATGGAAGTAGAAGATTTGTTGCAAGTCAAACAGTTGTTCTCAGTAGTCCTACTTACTAATGAATCCAGGATTTTTTTGAAAAATATGATAACTCTTCGTTCAATACATTGTGAGTTTTCCATAGGCTTTTAAATCTACGAGAGACTAGTGATTTTCAAAAGTTGAAAATTATTTCGATGAATGCAAGTTCTTTTCTAGGAGAGTTGAATCCAAATATGCTAAGACCACGTAACACTATTTACTAAAACTCGGAAGGGAAAAATACGAGTTGTGACTATCAGCACTTTTCGTAAAATATTTAAGGCAGGCGACTTTAATCGAGATTTGAAAAAACTTGGCTCTGTATTCATCACCATGTTTGGAGGTATTGTGATTTTGTTGCAGCATCCAGTCAAACAACAAAGCACGGGAAAAATAAGTAGGAAAATGGCTTTGAAGTACCTAGAGTTTTTGTTCATAGTAGCACCGTCAATACTGTTGTAATAATCTTTCAGTATTATTCACATTATCAGAGCAATATTAGGTTGGAATTAGTTGGCTAACAACTAACTACATTCTGAAAATGTGTAAAACACATAAAACTGTCTGAAACAAGAGTACACTTGTTTATTGGTTCAAGTATATAATTATTGTACATTTCGATCGCTTTTGGTGCAGTATCACAACTCCATAACCACCAATGATATTGTTTTGTTTGTATGTATCACTTGTTTGTGTTTCAGTTTCAAGCGGTCATTCGAGTCGGTATTAGTAGTGTGTCTTGTTATGATCAGACTTGATTCCTCAATATTCATTTTCCCATTCTAGTACAGTGTGTCTCAGCTTGACAGCTGAAATTTTTAACGAGTAGTAGACTTATTAGGGAAAAATATTTTATAGTTTCATGTTGACCAATATAGTAAGTTAGTTGCGCAACTAACTTAGCAGCGCTGCTAACTTACACATACTAGTATGTATATCATACGATTAAGAAATGTATTCTTATTATATCTGTGTTATACGTCGCATTTCTTTTCGAAAAGAGGGTGTATCAGTGCATCCACGGTTGTCAGGTCTATTGAAATTTGTGTCTACTATTCGTATGCCTATCTGCTTTTTCACCTATCAGACATCTATAACATAGTCATCATTTTATTGCTTTTATTCCTTAAATTTTATATGCATAATCACTTCATATAGTCCTAATTGGTTATTTCGAGTTTACTATCTATTTTTTCATCAATTACTCAAGTGCTGTTTAGCGTTTTACTAGTTTGCTGTAATCTTATTTAATAAAACTGACAAGTTTCATGCCTATACGTTTTCTGGTGAAATAAAATCGCACGAAACAAACTACACGCTGTGAGTTTATAATCCGACACTTTATGGAGGTGTTGGTTGTCTTGAATTAACGTGTGTGGCCCCTTGCATATATCAGCACCTCAAATATGAGAGACTTTGGAAATGCTTAAAGATTACGACATCTAATCGTGGGCTGAAACTTTGGTCACCACTTTAGAATTTCGTACTGTAAACGTTAAAAATGGTCATCAACCTCATTCAGATTCCTGAGAGGTAATAAAATACTTGGCTTTTGTTAGTTCAAGGTGCTTTTCAGAGGAATTTTTTTATTTATAACTTACCTATGGTAGATGGCATTTAATTTAACCTTCTCTAATAGTTTCTTTTTGATGTATATCATGAATGTAGCTTTATTATACAATAATATCAGTTCTCTTTTCAGATATCACGTATAGGAAATACTTTTTATTGAGATATAGTGGAAGTTCGCTGATCAGCACTGTATTGTAGAAAATATGCTTTCGTAATTTTCCTCTTTAATGGTATAGTTTGAAGATCATTTAAGACATATCTTCCATAAAAATATCCGTATCGTATGTTATTGTAGGTTTTACTTTTATGGTATTATTTTGGAACTTTAATACTTTCTAAACGGATATTAGTAATTATTGCGATTATTTTTTACAATTTTACTAGGCATTTAGAGGATGCTTTATATAGTTATCGCTACTGCAATTGTCGTTATTGGATTCTGTATTTACAAACGTAAATCTAATAAAGTCACATTTCCTCTTGACTGCTTTTTAAATGAGCAGTCTGCAGCTATCGATTATGAAGTACGTTTACCTGATTTCCTTGATGTTTTATGTTTATTTTTCAAGGATAACCTAATATTGTATAGTTTGTTCACTGACTAAATCATCGGTTATTGTCCTGTTTATAAATAAACATCATGAAACATGTTTTTATCGTTTAAGTTAGTGGTTTATGAAGATATTCATGATTTGAAAGTGGTTTTCTATCACCAGTCGGCTTCATCTGGGAAAATATATAGCTGTGAATCAGTGTAAAGCTGTTTCATCAATTCTCTGCATAAAGTAAGTCTTCCCAATTCCTAGTTTGAGGCCATAACCTGTGCATTCAACTACGTCTAAGTTGAGGGAGATTTTCATCACTAACATTTAATTATGTTCATTCTGATCTAATATTTTTTGAAATGCTATGTTTTTTACACCATGTTGAGTGCAAAACCTCAATTTTTACACTTGAACATTTAAAGGAGTTTGAGGTGTTTATCATATTTTAAGATAAAAAATAACAGTTTCAGAGTTAATTGTCACGAAAGTTATCTGATGTAATCTTTTAGGGAAATACTATGTCCCGGTTAGTTGAGTGTAGTGTGACTGATCATAATTCATCCGTAAGAGTTGATGACTGACTTCTTGTTTTAAATAGAACTTTTATATATTGATAATCATTATGCCAACCCTTTTAGGATGCTGGTATAAAAGGCATTTTTGAGAATGATTGAATCCGTGCAAATATTTCTCGAAATTTTCCTAAACACGCTCATCTTATTAATGATTTCTCTTTTTACAAAATAGGGAAACACTCGCACATCCGTTACTTATACTACCATTCCAGAAGTATGTGCCAATTTGTCTACTGTTTGTGAAGTGTTTCTATCTGGGTTGAATTTTTCAAGTAAGTAATTCATTTTAGCCACTAGATCTTATGAGCACATTCTCGCTATAGATAAACAATCATATTCACAAATGATGTATATTCTAATTACTTATTTAGATATTTTGGCTAATTCATTAGTATATGGTCGTAGGTCTCCTCGAATCATGCCTTATATACGGTGAAATCGCTGGGTAAAATATCTTGAGTTTCGATGTTGGGTCTTATTCAATAAATGGTAAATCTATAGATGAAACTATGAACCTCCACTAACCTTGATGATTAGGATGTATATTACACAGCTCCATCCTCTTAAAGCTACGCATTACGTTTGTTATTTAAATTAATGTAGTGAAAGAAAGCTAGTCCGGATAAATCAGCTCACCAAATCACCCCATAAAATCAAACTGTTGCCCCGAGCCATGTTCAAAGGTTTAGACTAAATTAATGGAACTTTCTTACTCTAGTGCATTTTGTTACGTATAAATTGTATTGTGCAAGCTCATAAACTGCATTTTAATAAAATAACGTCATTTTAAAGGATGTAATACTCCATCTTTTTAAATGAAGATTTTTCGACTACTGTCTATCTAGTATATTCAGACTTTTTTATGTTAGTTCATCTACCACCAGTTGCTTTGCTGTTATTTTTCGAAATGCACTTTCTTACCTTCATTCTCATACGCTAATTCTTTAAAATCGTTATTCTCGTCTTCTTAATATTAGGAAATTCAGCTTGTTTGGGTTGGCGCGAATACTGTGAGCAGGATTACAAGTGGATTACATATAAACAAGTAAACTGAGTCACATTTTTTATTATCCTTAATCCTTATCGGCATAGCTTTTGTTGGCAGTATCGGTTTAATTTTATATCTTGTTGAAAACACACGGTAGCTTACACTTTCTCAGTCACTCACCCACTTTCGAGTGAAATATGCCACACATTAACCAGTGAACAAGTGTTGAAGACGAATTAAGTACGAAGCACAGATCCTCATTACTTTAGGGTTAGGTATGGTTGTTCCTAATAATTGAACTGAAAATTCTTGGTAGCATATTTATAAGACACAGATTCGCATAAAGCCAATGAGTAATCTAATTTATTAATGTGAAGGGCGACCCAAATATCTGTATCCATTGATGGCTATTCGGCTTCAGCAGTTGTTCACTTCGTCCCAGAGATCTACATAGTACTACGAAATTAGAGTCAAGCACGTTACATTATATTATTAGCTGATTCCCATGTAAACGCCCACGTAGGTTTAGAGTAAATCAAAATCAAGGAACTAAGGAGAACTACAATGCGAATACTGAGCTTAATTCGACAATGTTTAACTGAATTTTAGTTCACTGTTGAAATGGGAAAACGGTGGTAAAGTAACGTACTTAGGGTTGAACTAAATGAATCTACAATTACTATCAGTGCACATACCTAGCATTATCAGTCAGTCAGTCATTAACAACGTAGAACTTCGTACGTACGTACGTACATCAGTTCGAGTACCTACCATTATATGTAAACTTTTATGAAATAGGAATCGTGGATATGAAGTTTGAAAGTGATTTGAACACGCGGCCAACAGTCCGTTTCATGTTAGTAGGAAAAATGATAATATCTAGAGGTATTTTTTTTCTTACAGCGAATTTCTAGTGCATAAGAATTCATAACAAAAAGACGTAATTTTCCGTTATCACCCTTTCGATTTTTTAAGTAATAACTATGACTGTCAGTTGAAAACCTAAATTATACTTTTCTCAATCACTTTCATATACTTGTACCAGTTTTACTTAAACAGTAAATGCCAACCCAGTAATAATATCAAGTCATTTTCTTCTTCAAAATATTGTTATCCCGTATTATGCATCTATGCATCTATGTCGTTACTGCTACCATTAGAATATATTAGTGTTTATCAATAAACAGTATAGGTTTTTGTTGATATGAGACTTTCTTTTTATTCTTCAGATGTACTTTAATGAAGCTTTATCTTTGCCATAATTTCTATTTCTTATATAGGTGAATGATAAAATCGGTGTTATACGATCCGCTCTACATGCTTTAAAAACCAGAGGTTCGTATGAAAACCTCTTTGTTGGTATTTCATCAAAAAATTCACCACAGGTAAGTCACTTTAATGTCTACTTCTCATATCGTGGAATAACAACTGAATGTTTGTCTACTCAGAGTTTATTCACTGAGTAACTCATTTCTTTCTTAGAATGACAGGTCTGTGGATTTACTCAGTTTTAAAGATAGTTCACAACGCGGTTCGAAATTAGCTGAGACAATGATTGGAAACCAGGGAGCATTATTTAGACGTCTCGTTTTATTATGAGGTCTTTTACTAATGGATACTCACGACCTCTCCAGATGTCAAACGTAGACCAGTTATCACAAAAAAATACTGAGTGTTAATCAAGGTTGTAAACATAGACCATTGGATGCCAATTTACTGGTTCAATAGTAACAAGGCCTGAAGATTCTCGTTTCGTTTCTTTTCGAAGTTGCAGCTGTACATTTCCAATGTGTTTTGTACAAAGACAAAACACCTCTCTAGCGCCTACTGATTTTCAATAGTTGTTTGGCTAAGGTAAATTTACGATGAAAACTTACGTTCTCCTATAAGATAAGTTTTCTATAGGTTGTTACATATGTAATGACTGTCTCACTACTTATGTGAAAATACTAAATAAAATTTTATGTCTTTTGAAACCTAGATATCTGTTGAACTGAATTTTGCTAGTTTTAGAGGGTTATATCAATTTGTGTACATGATAAAATCCCAAAGAAGTTAAAGAAACTACATCTATGCTAAACAAAAGTTAGCTTAAGTTTTTAGTTATCACAACCATGGTCTAATGATGAATTGGAGATATTACACCAATCAGGCAGATAATTTCATAACTTTCCATTTAACGATAGTATTACATCCAATTGCCTTGGCTTACCAATGACATAATTCATCAACGCGACGGAAACACTAGTGAATATTCTGAAAACAAAATGTCTTTGAACAACACATTAAGAATGTTGGTACCGTTTTCTTCCCAGCCTCCTCATGTTTGGAATATTTAAGTCCCCAGATAAATTTTTTCTTTGTGTCCACTGACATCCCACATTTTAAATATATTTAGTTGGATATTTCTCAAACGTGAAAAGTGTCATGTTACTTCTCTTACTTTTGGCAAACAAAACCCCGATTTCAGGTACCAGGTTTACCGCTGCATTATGATCGCCTAATGTGGTAACTCGTTACGTATTACTCAGGCTTCACCTGCAATCATAATTAAAAAATCATATGATTTTTATGCTGGTCTGGGTTGTACTGAATACCGTAACGGGGTCGAGTAGCTGCTGAGTACTGCTGTAATGGTGGGCTCTTTGAAGTAGATGAATACCATTACAAAGTGACAAATACCAAATACAGTTGTTCATTTAATTACCCGAACTTAAAGTTTAGTGTGTCATCGTTGAGCATTCTAATCCACTCATCATTTCATTTTTACATATTAGTCACCTTTTTTTATTGTGAAGAACATAAATATATCAAATGTATTTTCTTAGAATATCTCAATATGAATTAAAGTTTTTACACAATAATTTACTCCATGTACTTACTATTCTTTTTTTATTATTTATGCGTTTTATTATCTGAATTTTTGTGCTGCTTATTAATGTGACATTTTGAAACACTAAACATTCTTATGCAAGCCAACTGATCTTAGTAATTGTGGCAAATTTTGATCATGAATGTGAATCTATGTTCAAATATTATTTTTAGGGGATTCACGTGTTTTATTTTTCAAATGCAACCAATTTTAATTTTACAATACTGCATGTAGAATTAACATTTGGAAAGGTATAGAAAGTGACTGGTTTTCTCATATTCTCAGTCAAAGTATGCTTTTGTTTTCTAATAGATTAACTATTTTCTTCCAGGCAAATTAATCATAATTTGATAAAAAACATTATTCTATTGTTGATAAGTCTTTTAAAGTGGCGTAATTAACTAATCAAAGTGAGGCGCAACTGATTTACTTTACAATCAATATAACTCTGCTTTTTTATTAATTGACAGTGGCGACAGTTTGAAAGAAGCATGTGACTAATTCGCATAATGTTCTTTAAATGGATACTTTACTGCATTTATTTCCAGTTGACAGCTTAAATACTTGATTATTCAATTACTTAACTAATCTGGTATGCATCTCCTATTATGATATGAATGTAAAACTGTAGACGTAAATTCGTGTTTAGACGTTATGATTAGACTGTACGGGTTTTTGTTACTTTATCGCAACGAAAGCTAATATTATGTGCTAATTTACTCAGCTGCTTTAAATGTCAGCATGTTAGGTAAGCAAGTGTTGGGAATGAGATGAACAAACACATAAATCTAAGTTTTAAACCTCTTTGATCTCGTTTTCAGGATATGTCTTTAAATCTGATTCCACATTCTTGCGCCTCAGTTAAGTCCTAAAATAACCTTCGTTATTTTGAATTACCCCCACTGAGACTAGGCTATAACTTATCATTCGGTTGTCCCCAAAAGGTAGAACGAGCCTGCTCTCCCTCTAGAAATGCTCACGCATGGCGTTGCATATACAGCCACTGCCAGGAAAGTCCTAATCATTGCCTTCTCACGGTGGGGGTATTGTTTACGAAATTGAGAGGATGAAAAGCGATTTTCCAGCTTTTTAACCGGGTTGGTGGTCACGGAGAGTCCACCTAGGGGAGTTGGAAAACCCTGATTCCAAGCCAATGGTGCACATGGACTCCAGGATCCTGAGAGAACAAATGGTGTATGAACGTATTGTTGGTGACCGGTACCATTGGACTGCATGTCCTATCGTTGCTCCACTGCCTTGAGGATTAGACTTTTAGGTCAAAGGCTCGGAGTGTGACTCTAAGAAAACTATTTACTTTAGTTTGGGCACCCGGGCAGTATCCCAGCCCATACACAAACCAATGATAACTACGTCTGGAAAATTTTCTCTTGCTTCAACGCTTATCCAGACAAATCCTATTCTCAATCATCTGATAACACTCATTTTTATTTCTTTTATACTACGTCACTTATATACTGCCCTTTATTCTCATTTTTATTTTTTTACTTTTAAACTTATACAGCAGCTTGCCTATGATGGAAACCCTGTCTTGTATAAACGATCTCAAGTCGCTGATACGTTGAAATTTGAATGCTGCCGCTGACTATGAATACTGACCCAGTCTTTCTGAAACCACGTATACCATTTAAACTGGCCTCCTTCAACGTTCGCACACTAATGCAGATCGGATGACCGATAGGGTTGGCTATGTCTTTAGAAAGTTTCAACATCGATATCTGTTGTCTATCTAAGACCGATATTCAAGACTAGTGAAATACTACAAATTCGCTCTCCATCTGTTACTTCGAGAAGCTTGTTTCATGTGCGTTTTTCCGGGGACACTGGCTTCTTCGTGTGGTTTCGCTGGCGTTGGTGTCGCACTAAGCGCTAGAGCTGAAGCAGCACTGATCTATTAGATCCCCATTAACATTTGTTTATGTGCTGTTAGATTTGAAAGCTCCATCAAAATGCGAAAAAATCGATGTGATAAACGATGTCTTTTCAACATCACCTATGCAGTCCGTATGCGATCAAGGATAAGTTCTATCGCCAGTTAATTGTTCTTCTACAGAAAGTGCTTTCGACAGATATCATAGCTCTAACTGAAGACTTAAATACTCAGGTCAGGCATCTAGGTACAGAAGAGAGTCGTTTAGGTAGCTAATGGGGACTTGTTGGTCGCAGGTCAGATAACGGTGATCGTCTACTACAACCTGTTACTGGCTAAAACTAACCACCGGTACAGCCATCGCCGATGTGCTACCTGAAACCCTCCTTCTTCATTTCAAACCAGGGCTCAGATTGATCACACCGCGATCAGCTATCGCTGGTGTTGTTGTGTACAAGACTGGAGCACCTTTTGGAGTACCTATCTGGACTCTGTTCATGCCTTTGCTTGTGCTTGCCCTACCTTACGTTTCAGTGGTCAGCAAATTCGTCATTTTAATTGGATCGATGTCAGTAAATTGGTTGCAGCCTCTGTCGCAACTAAATATCAAACCGAGCTAGGTTCAAGGCTAGTTACCAGTTACCGAAAAGTAAAGATGGGCTTTGGTTGCAATTGCATGACGCTTGTAAAATGGCGAGTAAAGTCTCTCGCAACTTCGCGAAACATCCCGCTTATGAACACTGAGTTTCTTTAGGCTCCTTACAACTCATTGACACCCGTCGGTCTACTCTGAATGACCTCGAGTTTGACCACAAACGAAGACTGTTATCTGATGAATTTGAGTAAAGCTTGTTTAAAGACCGAGAAGCCTGTTGGTCGGAGCGTGCTAATGAACTGGAAGCAACAGCTGCATCTGGTAACTACCGGAAGCTCTTCCAACTCATCCGAGCCACTGGCAGCAAGAAGTCTGGTGTGAGCGAAACAATCTGTGAGGATGACGGGATGCCAGTCACTAACATCCATCGAAGTCTTGGATGATGGACAGGGTTTTTCGAGGATTAGTTCAGCTAGTCTACCACCCCAGCAACATCGATCAGACTGTCCTGCCCTCCATGATTGATGATGACTGACCCACCTAACGAGGAGGAATTCTGCAGTGAACTCCAAATCTTGGAGCGCCACAAGTTGCCAGGCCTATATTACTTACCTCTAGCCCTTTTTAAAAATAATGACCTTCTAGTTAAAGAACTGACTGAGTTGTTTACGAAGGTCTAGAAATTGGAGAGTGTCCCAACATCGTGGGCTGAGTCAATAGTTGTCTATATTTTTCAAAGAAGGATCACTTCGTTTCTTCAATAACTATTGGGGAATAAATCTACTTCCGATTGCGTACAAACTATTGGCCTCCGTCGTACTTTGTAGATTGTTGAAAACCCGAGAAAGATTGTCTTGCGAGGAGCAGGCTGGTTTACGTTCTGGTCGAGGATGCATTGATCACATCTTCACCCTGTCCCTAAGTTTAGAACACCGTCATACTTATTACAGGTCAACTATCGTAGTGTTTCTTGACATTAGGGCCTCCTTCACTTCGTTGGGCGGGACCATTCTCTGGGATTGTCTATTGAAGAAGGATTTGTTTAAGAAGTTTATTCACACCTTAAGAGCCCTATATACGAGCACTTCAGGTAGATTGACGGCATACAACCACCTTTCTCCATTGTTCTATTCAAGCAGTGGGGTTAGAGAGGTTCAAACAATTTCACCATTCTTCTTCAACTTTGCCATCGATGGGGTTCTTGGAACAGTTCTCATGGATGTAGGTAATGGTGGTGTAGATCTGTCACCTGGAAAACGACTCTTTAACCTTGAGTGTGTGGATGATATTGTCTTACTGTGTGATGGTATCCATGTTATGCAGTCCGCACTTAATCAGTCGGCAGTTAGTGTCCGTACGTATGGCATGTGGTTTACACCTTTTAAGTGCAAAATACTTTTACAAGACTGGCATCACCCTCTTTGTTTGATCATCTTTTTCTCCTATGGATTTCCAACATTCAAGGGCAACACCATGTTAGTAATACAGAGGTTCGGCATCGTGTGTTCGGGCACAGAACGATAACTCAATTAGTGTCACTATCTTGAAACATTGAGTTCGGTGGCCTGGACATGTTCTACGAATGTCGTCCCGGAGAATTCCTCGTCGTGCATTATTTGCCGACGCTGGGACTGGTCAGAAAATGCGGAGAGGTGGTCAGTGTTATGACGTGGTGTCGTTGTACGAACGAACGCTGTACGGGACTGGCTCCTGTTTGTCCTTCACGAATCTGTGGTTGGGATCCTAGAGATGGTGCAACACAGTGGCTAGAGACGTTATCAGATATGGCTCAGAATAAAAGCCAGTGGCGATTCTGCTGTAACTTTCTTTATAAAAGTGAACGTAACTTTAAGAGAAAGAATTCTTTTCGGTTGTATTTTTGTTGACTGAACTGTTTCTCACATTATTATTATTATTACTACCACTTTTATTAGTTATTATTGTCATCATTACTATTATTATTATTATTATTATTACCATTTTTACTTTTGTTACTATTATGTTTATTATTATTATTAGTTCTAACAAATAAGAAGAGACTACATCAAAAATAAAATCATGCTCACCAGTTCGCTGGCTGCATATATATATATATATATATATATATATATATATATATATATATATATATGATGGGACAGTTCATAAACCGGTTACGTACAAAGTCATATAGAGTGAATTTTTACGAATAAGAACGAAATTAAGAAGTTAGGAGGAACATTTTGGTAAATCACAGTAGCGTGAAATAAAGATTTCCTAAGTGAATCTAACTGGATTCTGCTATTCCGACTATGGATAGTTTGTAGCATCAATTACAGTTATCAATCATAAACTTTGTATGTTCGGTTAGCTACCATTCAAAATAATATAAACTCTCAGTTGTAAAACTCGGCTTTTTATTGTGTGTCTACTATGGAGCTCGTATTATGGTTCATCCACTCTAGTAGCTAGATTAGGTCCTATCTATTATTTTCGTAAGCATTCATTTTTTTGTACCTGTCAAAGAATAGCGATTGAACTATTTTGATCGCACCATTTTAATTATGCTGTCTACAATTTTTATGATTCCATTACTGAGGTCACCTTCACTGTGCTTTGAAATATCAAGACATAGATTGGTCCATTCACATCACCAACTGTTTCATCATTATTTCAATGTTAATTGCTGAACACTAATCGTCTTTGTATGATTATGCAAGATGTAAACTTTTTAAAAGATATCTTCAATGTACTAACACTGGATACAAATTTTATTGCCTTCTGTCTGTTCGTTAGTGGATAATGGTCGAATTGGCTTGTACATTCTCTGGTTATACTATTGTACCATTGTATGATACTTTAGGCGAGGAAGCTATTTTAACTATACTTAAACAAAGTAAGAATGAAGGTTTTTTATCAGTTTATTTTTTTCCAATGGAGTTCAGTCATTTTTCAGTACAGTAACTCACCTTAAAACTTGGTTTTAGGGTTCGTTTCAGTCATTAATTTAGATAATTGTATCTATGACTAAGGAATACTAGATGACATAAATTGAAGTCTTTTTAAACGTGGTTGAATAATTAACAGTAATATCATTTAAGATATAGTTACAAGATGTAGATACAAGTGTCCAGCACTCATATAATGTTTGTTCTTTGAATTATTTGATTTAGGCTGAACTATATTTATTAATTTCCAGTTTAATGAGTACCATTCAAACGAAGAACAATGAAAGGTTGAATTGGATTCTATCTTTCTTAATAAATGAAAGTCTGAATAGTGGGTTCCATCTCCAGAACAAATAAATAGTTCTTGGTGTCATCACTACCGCGCAAAAATTGTCAAAGAAGACAGCAGTTCTTCTTCTTTCAGTCTCTCAAATCCAATACAGAGTTAGTGTTGACAAACACTTCATTAAGTGATGTATTCAAACCTCTGGATTGAGAGATGAAATTAGGTCTCAAATTCTCGAATTAATAGCTTATTGTAACTTGGTTAGGTGGTATATCGATGGTGTACTAGTTGTGAACGAATTGTAAACAGCGATGATTAAATAACTAATCAAACATGTGAGGAGAATTGACCGCATTAGAAATAAACATTTTAGGACGTTCACCAATGCAGCTTTAATTAACTCAGCTACGTAGTTATATTAGTGTTTTTGAACAACTTATGCTAACATAGGACCAATCAAAACATGTCATCTAATCGTTTTTCTGTTGTCTTTTGAAGTAGTTAACAATGAATATGTTTTGATTCTTGAGTAATAGTCTAAACGTTATCTTCCCATGTTCCTCCTGATCAATGTATATATATGTGATACTGCAGAGTCGCGACCGTGTTTGTTGTTGGTTTGTGTCCAGTCATTGTAAATTGGTTTCTATTTCCGGATTATTCTTCACTGTCATATTAGCACGTTTTAGTGGAATGGGTCGGAGGTTTAAGTTCTTTTGGCATTACCAGTAAATATTTAATTAGCTAGGATGCTTCAAACAATTATTTCGTCCTTCTGTTCATCGGGATTTGCGATTACATTATCTGTGTTTGCCACATGATAGTCTGTTCATTTTGTCCAAATAGTGTCTAAGTATGAAAATTGTCGTAATGTTTTTCTTTTTATTTCTAAAAGCTGCTTTAAAATTAATGATATAAAAATACGAAACAGTTTTATAAAGTTGTGCGCTATTACCATCCAATCTACTGAATGCTCATACCACTTTGCACACGTTTGGTTCAAAAACATTAAACTAGTAACTAAAATCTAAAAGAATAGACTGTTTGTCCCGGCTTCCACTCTGTGTAAATAGCCATTAACGTTTATGCATTTAATATTTCTATTGAACTAGTCCGCTAAGCTATGCTATATTAATTTAGAATTGCTTTCATATTCATTCTACAGAAGATTATATTTTTCCGATGAGTGGAGGTAAAATAGTTTTATTTACATTTATCAGAGTTCGTTGTTTCATATAATATTTACGGCCACTAATGGTAGAAGAGATTGAGCTCCTAGTGTTATATTAAAATAACCACTACGTAAAAAAGAAAACAAATAAAACGCCATTTAAAAATCTTTATGTAAGTTTTTTTCCGTTGTGTCGAAAAAATATTTCAAGCTGCTTCACTGATGACAACATTGAAGGAGGTTTTTCTATTGGTCAACAACAAAAGCTACCCATCTAAAATTATATTATTATAAGCATTAATTTTTAACTATGATTCTTTTGTAAAGTTTATGAACGACAGTATAAACGTCCATTTTATTTAATCTCTGTAAAAATCTACATAGCTGAAAATTTATCAGATGACAGCAATATATTTCATTTAGATTCCAAACACCTCTGGTAGAGTTATACATAAGAGTATATCGATAACATTAAATAAGCTCAGTGTTTATCAAGACCTATAATTAAAAGGGTTTTCCCGTAAAAATCAATGCGTCTATAGAAGCCACGAATACTGTAGTTAAGAGAAGTTAAATGAAAAGACAGTCTTCTCGAGAACAAACTATACTTTTTTAGGGTACTGAGATATTTTCGAACATTAAACTATTGCTCATTCATACCATTCAAATTAAAATCGAGATACATACTATTATCACCCAGTAATCACTCGTACGATTCAACAAATACGTTAGAAGTTTTCCCTTTTTTATTTCATTTAAACCATTCCGACCAGAAGTAAGGTAATTCTTTCTTTCATTCCATTTTATAAAGTCATTAGACGTTTTAAAATATTCACTTAATGATAGACATATATCGCTTTATTGTCAGAATGGGGGTTAGTGTAGATTGTAGTAATTTTAATAGTTGAATTCATGAGTCAATCTAAGCTAGACCACCGCTAGACGACCGTCCAGCGCTTGCAGGTTTTGAATGGTGGTCTAGCTTAGATCGACTGATGAATTCAACTATATATCGCTCTTTCATTTTTTAACCTTCAATCAACATGGTTATGATACATGTGGAAAAAACCAATGGATTAAAGATACAGTTTTCTTCCAGAAATGAATGAACAAACTATTCACTTGAATCTTGTTTCAGCGATTATGAATTTTAATATCCAAGTCTTTGGTAATATGCTAACTTATTACTCTCACTCTATTCGTTCTAATCTTCATTTCCTATCTAGCTAAGCTGCCAATAATGTTTTGTGACTCAGTTGAAGTAGCACAACGTATTACTACATTCGCACCTGACACTTTACAACACATTATCTTATTTCCTAACTCGTCTACAAATGCAAAGTCGGCTTCTGTTTCATCAGTTAACAGTTTGGTAAAAATTTACGACTATGAAGAATTCCTAGTGAGTTTCATTTTCATATACATTTTAAACATGTTAGTAACATTTGTTAATTCGACCCGGTTGTTAAAAGACAGAATGAAACTAATTCTTCAGTGAACTGTACGTTGTTAGTATTGATAATGTCGGGTTGCTTTTTTCATGTTCCGAGTTTTTCTTATACTCACGACCAGTTTTTTATCCTTATCTGTATATCGTTTTTGATGTATTTTAGCTTTAAGCCGTAAACGGACGAATGTTAACCAGGGATGGACAGCCTTTTTAAAAATTGCTTATCCGAGTTTAACTATGAAAATTCTGGTACTTAATATAAACTTAGTTCTTCTGTTCATCAATCTGATCAGATGTGTTTTACTGTTAATTCGTAAATGAACTATTATGACAATGAATTTATCACTAGAATTGCCCTGAAACCTAGTTGCTCATAATCAAATATTTGCTAAATACTTCAAAATAACAGAAAACCATGTTTTTTTCGACTTAATTAACAGAGTATCAAACAAATCGTGGCTTACTAGTAAAGTAGCTAGTATCTCCATGTATTGATTGAAGTTTGATGTTCAGGTTCGTATCAATAGGTTGTCTTGCAATTAGATTTCAAAACTTTAGAGCTCATATCAACAAGTTGTATCTGGAGGCTTGAGTAAATTGATTCTCACTACTAAATATTTATACTGATATTGACTGAAATTTAAGAATCACTAGTATCAAATTCTAACTTACTAAAGCGCTTTATTACAAGTATTTTTTCGAAGCTGATAATTAGAATAAGTATGCAATAGGTTTTACAGTTTTTAATGACTACTTTTCAGTTATGATAATTGTGACCTTGTCAAGAAAATAAGTTGGTGTTTATTATTGGTCATTTATCAATCCTCTATATGTTCGCATATCTTTCCGGTTGGTGCATACACTACAAGTCACAAATAACAACAAGATTAACTAAAACTAACCAATCTATAGACCATCCATCATCTTATAGCTATCACTTTTACTAGTATCATAGTTTTTGTAGTTTGATGCATTCATGCATTCTCTTTATTGTCACTGGTCATTGTTTTCTAGTAATGTACGACCTCTTTCCTAGACACTTTATTTATTTGTTGCTTGTCTATCTTTTTTTGGGGAAAAACAATCGAGAACAAATTAATACTAGTGTACTCGTACAGTGTAACGTTGAATTAAGCATTAAAACACTCAACTTTCAACTATCAGGTCAATGGCTTCAACTTTCTTCCACCTTTGTCTCTCTGAGTGGCTGGGTGATATCACTAGTCCCCATATAAACCGTGTGATCTAAAGCCTAATGAGTAAATCTTGGTAAATTAGTTACATTGTTTTGTTTTCCTCTACGTTATTTACAGGACACCTATATTTTGTAGTCCTTAACATCATTCCCAACTAATAGAGAGCCTTATAACGTTAATAATATTTAAGCCCTTTAGAATCATCACAAGTCATAACTTGGTAACTCAATAACAGTAGGTTGTATCGACAGTAATAAGCGGATAATTATGATTCAATCATGCCAGTTGTTTGTTTTCAGTACATAAATAGAACCACACAACAAAACATGAACAAAACACATGACTTCGCTTCATTCATTTACCTATTTCAATGATACTGACTAGCTAGGTTAAAGAGCAAGCATAACCCGTTTAAACTAGGTTTTTGAGACACCAAGATTTATAGGTAAACGGGATTTGATGTAAACAGTTCTGTAACACAACAGTAAGCTTAATTAAAAGCTATGGTCAATGTGTCTAGTTTTTTATGCAGTTGCTTATTGGTTAAAGCAATAGACTCATATTTTCTGTTTATTTTTATCTGAGAAACTAAATATATTCACTAGTTTTCACAGAAATAGGATATAAGCACCTGTACTTGACTAGTGAGTTGCAATAAATTAAATTAATACAGTTTATTATTCTACTAACACCGATAGTCATTGATGTAACTAGACAATAAGGAAGCATAAAATGATTTAATTGGCAGATGTATTTTAATTATTTCATTTATTGTCAGTTTAATGCTAGTATGTCTTGTCAACTTAAAACTTTGAGTTTAACATTATGTTCTCTTTAGTATTATCGAATAAAAATGAACATTAGTTACTCTTGAAGATACTCCTGTTATTATCAGATTGTGTTCAAGAGGACAGAATGTACTGCCTTATTTATTCTACACTGTTGGAAATTTTCGAATGCCATTTTTTTCATCAAACAATTAATTGAAAAGAATATACAAATGTGAGAGTACAGGGATACTCCTCATTGATCTCAACTTTCATATTAACTTGAGGGAGAGAAAAAATTTTCAGATATTAATTGTAATTTTTAAATGTTCATGAACATTTTCATGTTTCTTCTTACTTGTTCATAAACATGACACTTTTTTCAATATCTTCACTCAGCAAAGTATTTTTGTTTGGATACCTACAGTTGATCAAAAATGATAAATCCATTCGAATACGTGGAGTTTTTTAAAAAAAAATTGTGCCCAATACCATGAAAAAATTCGTAAGGCAAAAATCACTGTACAGTCTTACTGCTACTTTAATCCATCTTTAAGAGTTAAATTTATTTCAATTGAGTGAGTCATTGTCAGGTTTTATTATCATTGTTTATAAAAAGTAGGCGAGGCTGAGCGACTGAAAGAGAAAAGAATTTTTTAGTTTTCTTTGTTTTTGATTGTCTCGCTTTTGACTACCAAGCTCCGTTTACCTTTTGACCTTTTCTTATTTGCCATCGTCACACCACTTATTGGATTCTGCCCCAGTTTATTTCCACTTCACAATGGTTTGTTCTGTGAATCAATAAAAGAGATATATGGGTCAATGTTACCTATTTCAAATTATATTGCATTCACAAAAACGAATAAACAATTCACCTGTACCTAGGCAACGAAATTTCTTCATCCGAAGCAAAGTATCGGAACATTGTATCAATAAAACAGGCAGAACAAGGGGAAGAGTAGGAGTAGTATGGCAAAAAATATCACTATTGGAGCATTTCCTACACAGGCTTTACAATAAAGATTATTAGACGTTTGTAATAAGATCCCTTCCAACATTACTAGCGGATAACAATAACTATTTATCGAAAATAACGATAGAGAAAAATGAATGTTGCTATTATTATGGCATTGTAGAGAAAACTTTTATGTAACCGGAAAATTAATCGAGAATTCCACAGAAACGAGTTAAGAATAATTAATATGATTTATAGCATAACACCCATCCAATAACCTGTTTACTTGGCTTCACATATGCAGATAAAAAACTAAACGTCAGTGATTGGATGATAGAGGATATCATCTATGCATTTAGATAAGGAGGTACAGTTTTAGACAAGAACACTAAAATTAAAAAATATCGGAACCAGAAATCTTACACCTAAACAGTTCATGATGACTGTGTTGTAGACCAATTATTACAAGACTGGGAAAGAAAAACTGAGAACGTCAATGGAACACTTGAGAACGAAGAGTGGAGCTGACATTGATTCAGATCACCACCTGGCAAATACCTCGATGAAACTAAATGTAATAATGCACTGAAAAACTGGGGAAACAGCATTACAAAGGTTTAATATAGCCTGCCTTCAAGATACTGATAGACTCTGAGAATTCAAGGTAGGTCTCAGGAACAGGTGTCAAGCCTTACAAATGTTGAGCAGACCCTGAAAACTCTGGGAACCATATTTTCCACTAAGCATTCGATAGAAGTTCTTCAAAACATCTGCAAAGTGAAAACTCACACGTCACATTTCTGGTTGGATGCTTACCTATATTACTACTATGTTTATAAGGGTTCCAGAACTTCCCAAAAGCCCAAGCCATCTGAAATGCTATAAATATCCTTGATTTTCTGTACATAAAATAACCTTGGAGTGAAGCGTTCTTTCCATATTTCGAGTCTGTTTCTCGTGTTCAAGTTGCCGTGTAGATTTAGCCTGGGTTTACTAGAAGAGCTTAGGAAAGTGAATCAAGCGTTCAGTTAGAAGATTTATCATAAACATCTACTCAAAGTAGAAGAAACCGGTATGGGAAACAACGGAAAAGGAACCAAAGAAGCAGTAACTTAAACATGCTAGGACGTGCTATGCCCCCAACAAGCACCAGCATAGAGAACGAATGTCTACTGGTACCTTTGGCAAGATTCAAAAAAGCATGAAGAAGAAGGCAGTAATCAACTACAGCCGAGTAAGAGTAGAAAAAGCCAAGGCACAAACCGAATACACAGAAGCAAATAAACCAGTGATTACGACTATTGGAGCTGATAAGCGAAAAATGCTACAACAGAAAGAAAGTACAACGAAGAAGCTAGCTGGAAGATACGGTAAACCAGAAAGGTCAGTCGAGTACAAAGAAGACAAGCCAGTCAGTGAGATTCAAGAACAGAGGAACAGATTGGTAGAACAGATTTGGAGAGCTCTTGAGTTAACCAGGTCCACTGAACCCAACGAACATCGAGGCAGCACACACAGACCTTCCTATATATTTCACCCTCACCAACAATCGGAAGAATCAGCATGGTCATCAGACAAATGAAGAGTGGGAAAGCAGTCAGAAATAGAAGTAACTGCGAACATGCTCACCGTTCTATTCAGGAAGATTTGGGAGGAAGAACAAGTGCCGATAAACTGGGTGCATGGATACTTCATCAAGATGCCAAAGAAAGGAGATGAGCAAATGTGAGAACTATAGGGGCACCATGCTACTGTCAGTACAAGGAATGGTTGGTTGCCGAATCCTGATCGGCGGCATATGCTCCTCCACGAGGGGTAACAGGCGTATGTAAGTACCGATGTGTTGACAAGTGTTTATCTTGTAATGGATTATCTTCCAAATCCCTTTTAAGGCTTCATATATCAACTATCCTGATAACAATTATTAGATAAATCCCAGTGGTGTGTACATTTTAGAATGCAACATAAAGCATCGACCTTAGTCGATTACTAAATAGCTCAGATCACAAGCACACGAGCAGAAATGCTAATGAGTGAACAAGCGAATACACAGGCAATTTAAAAGTCATTTACTCATATTGGATCATTCAATTTTATTTGTTTTTGTAAACATTTAGTTGCCTTTCCCAGCCACATAGCTTGGTGGTGCCGATTGGCTTATCTGGACACATTGATGATATGGTACAACTACTGGGACTCAATAGCTGTCTATCCCTTGATCTTGCCTTTTCTTATTTCACATCCAGTTATTGTGGACCATTTATGAGTCATATAGCAATGATCATATGCTTTATGTTTTCTTTTCTTATTCTTGACGATCGCCGAGACCCCAGGGTCTTTTGTTTGCCTATATTTCCTCTTTTCCTGCTAAAATTCTTTTATTTTTTGTAGATTGCATGTTTATATGTGTCTCATCAGTCATCCTTATGTTTTATTTTCTTCTGGATAATCTTCTATTGGACGTGCATAAATGTTTTTACGATTTCTGTTCCTTTATTCCAATGATCATTTCTGAAGATACGATGTATCTCTTTATTGGGAGTAAAAAGTCGATTGCAGTTTCTACTTAAAAATTTGATTAATAGCTCTCGTTTTCCAACTATGGTGGGTTTATAATGATTATCACTTCTGTTCATCTTTAATTTATACGGACTGTTCAACTAGTTATTAGTTGTTTGTTAAGTGTCTGTAAATCTGCTGTATTTGTCTGATCCAACCTCTTCGTATGGGATTCTCACACCAGAAGTTTGCATTCTATCTTGCTGTCAATCACTTTGCACATATTGTTGTTCTCTTTTGTATTTGGCTGTTTGCCATGAGTTCGGTCAGTTTTGTCAGATTTTTTCAGTTAATGTTCTCTTTTAAGTCATTTACTGCTTGTTTTTGCTTTTTTATTTCTAAAATCACCCGTGTCGCAGTACTTAACACTTTCTAGTTTCATTGAATCTTTTTCTGGACTATACTACTAAAATTTCAATGCTGGTTAATTGCTAACCGCGAGTTTACTCACAAAGTGACTATGACGTTTTTGAAATTTTCTTGTATAATATACTTTCTAATTTAAATTTTAGGAGTTCAGTACTGGAGAACTCATTTGCACTGAAGTGAGTTTTTTTCCTAATAAGTATATATCGATTCATTTTTTTGTGGTATACCTCTTTCCTGTGTATTTTTTTGCATTAAGAGTCATCTATACATTACTTCACAATTATTTACCAACAACAGTTTATTTGAATCCATCGTTTTAAAGGTCTCGCATTCATAGTTCTTTCTCTTTCATGAGTAATCGTCAAATGACAATATTTATTGATAGGCATCATTTGGTTATACTTTCTGTGTCGTCGCAAGTAATTTTAAAATTTATTGCTGTCTTTAACTAGAGTATGACTATTTTTTTAAATCATTTGTATTTTCCTATCAAAAATTACTGTATTGGTTACTCAATCAAAATGGCCGTTTGTTTATCTCAATGAAAACGTAGATACTTGAGTGGCACGAAAGGATCTACGGGTTGACTAATGGTTAGTTTAAATTGTAAAGTTACGTCGTATACAGAAAGAAACCAACTGATGTTTTTAAGTCCATGCCATAAAATAACTAAAGATATCATTGCAGTTCGCCTTTGACTATTGACATAACATTACACTATGGTTTATAATCTATTTATCTATCGCAAGTATATTTTGTCTCGTCACCGTCATACATTTATACTCGGGTAGGACAATTTACCATTCTATAATTACTTTTTTGCAAAAATTCATGTTAACTAATTACAATATCGATATGTTATTTCAAACTAGTCACCATTAACATTAATATATGAACACTTTTTCTCATCTCATAAAAGCTGTTGTTTATTTCTGGGTTTTAGACTCCAAAACCCGAGAGTTTATTTATGGTTTGCTATACAAGTGGAAGTACAGGTTAGTTTAATAACGCTTTTGCGCTAAACATTCTCAATCATTACTTTATTTGATTATTTATTCCGAAACTAACAATTTAATTAGGGGTTACTTGTTTATTAGTTGCAAATTCACCAGTGTTACACAATTTGGCTAGTTGAAATTCACTGGATCGAAAAGTTCCAGCTATCTCAAAGTACTGAAGGGATTTCTATACGGTTAAGAAATCTCGAAAATAATTTTTATTGCTCTAAGGCTATTCTTGTGTTTTATCACTGAAAATTTGATTAATCTCGCAATACAAAAGTTAAAGAATTTAATTCAATTTGGTTATGTACTCGCTTTTGATGTACTATTTTTGTAAAGGTAAATGGCACTAACCAGCTCTCACCATTTACTAATTTCATGCAGTCTAGAAATACCCTGAAATGTTGTTGTGGTTGATGTTCTAAAGTACTTATTATTAGTGATATTAGTCATGCATCTACACTAAGAACACTTTTACCTTCTAATATTTGATCTTCAGTTTTTTGTCAATTCCAAATGATTAGTTTCTTTTCTAAACTCACATTTATGCTCAGGACGCTGTATTCCTGTATTCAAGTTATCAACTCAGGCGGCGCGATGCATAAACGAAATTTCAAGGTATTCGTTGTACCAATTCCTTACTTGTAAAGTGACTATTAGAAATCATAAATAGCTGGTCTTTCGCACAGTAAGATACGTATTCACACGAGAAGCATCGGTTCCCTCAAGGTTTTGGGTATACCTTGCTGACGAATACGAGTTAGCAGAAAACCTGGGTCAGTGTTTTCCTTCTTACAAACCTTCTGACGATTTTTGGTGCCTTATCCAATTAAATAATAATTAAAAAATCTCAAATTTCTTTGATACACAAAATCTGTCACGTCAAATGTAAACAACAGTAAAATTAGTTTATTTCAATTTGAAGGAATGATATAAGTGCAGTGCATGGTGAAAAAGAGAATCGATCGTCTTTTTTTCACATAAAAGTCGTATCTTTATTTGTAATTATCAAGTGCATCTATAGTATAGACCTAAATAAATGTAAACTGTCATGATCTCACAAAAGTTTAATTTCCTTAGTAAGGTATTATTATTATTATTATTATTATTATTATTATAGGCATTCCCAAAGGGGTGAAAATCACACATCAATGTGTTGTAAAGACCATTCAAAGTTTATTTCAACGACTTGAAGGAGATGTGAGTGTAAAACATTAAGATTGTATTTATTCATTCTGTTTTACATCAAATAAATAGAAAAAAAGCTTTTGTTTAAGTGATTTTCTTCTCTTGTATGAATGTAATAGTTCGTGAGATTAACCGCGAGACATGAGTCTGAGTATCGATTAATTCGCCCAGACTCTATGTGGTACCAATGACCTGTAATCGCCAATCTGTTCAAGTAGTTTTATATTTTGCAACGAATAGCTATCAGGACTCAGCTAAGTAGATAATGCTATGGCATTTAAAGCGAACGGTACTGGGTCCGAGTCTCGGAAGGAACATCAACTCTGGAATGCAGGTAAATCCAGCTGACGAGTCCCAAATAAGACGAAACGCGCGTCATGGATTCCACTGCCAGCCCCTATCCGTCTTCGCTCATCAGTATATTGGTTTTTCATGTTTCCAGCGTTCCAATTACTATTATTATCTCTTTGAATATTTTATGCATGATTGTTTCCCGTACAACAAGACAATGCTCGGTGAAATAAACACACCTGCCTTCATTTTAAATAATTGTTTCTTCATTTCACTGTGAAGGGGACTTCATTTCTGCTGTTTTTTTGAGTTAAATGTGTAATTTTTACTATGACTACTACGCTTTTTTAAAATTATGTTCTTTGTGTTAGCACGCTTTTTGAGAATACAGCACGGTATTCGATGAATAATTAACTATTGCTTTCAACCGCAAGTTAGATTGAAATGACAGGTGCTAGTATTTACCAGAAAATTTGCTTTAAATATAATTTACCATTCATTCTGGTTATGAAACATCAATGACATCACTGAAGTCTCAGTGCTCAGATATGAAGTGCATCCCGCAGTTTCTATTTCTTTTGTAATTTAATGCTGAACTGTGATGTGTGCTACTTATGTCAACATAAGTAGTACATAACGCTAGTCAGGAGTAGAATGTCTGGCAGCATAAGGTCAAAAAGATCAAGGAGGAAAGAACGAGAACAGAAAGCAATTGGTATGGAAATGCAGGAACGATCAAGTCTGAGACAAATAATGAACGTTTTGTAAATGAATTATTTATTGTATAGTTCTCAGATTTTTCTAAGACGTTCTGTAATTTTGTGTCCCATTTGTGTTCTTGTTCACTACAAAAGCAGTCGTATAACTTTTTTCCTCATTTACTAAGAAGTATCTATCATTGGAATTAGTAGTCATTTTAACTTTTTTTTGGTACTTCGACTTCTGGTGGTTTGGCTTTTATTCACTGAGCTTTCATCTTATATATTTCAAGTTTGTAACCTGCTCCACAAACAACATCTGAGTATAATCAAAATCATCAAACAAACTGACATCTCTGTTTATTTATTTTTGTTCTCTTTAAATGTTATGGAATAATCAACTTATTTTGCAAAACCGACGCTATGTTAAACAGTCATCTTCTCTAGTAGTCACTTAATGACTCCTTTTTATACTTGATCTTGCACTATCATGCTTTAATAAAATTACAATTCATGGTATTTTTTTTATTAACAGATCTTTAATAATACTGCTTCACATCTATCTTATTTACCTTTGGCTCATATAATGGAACAGATGATTTCTGTAAGTTAGTAGAAGTTAAACTTGCAATCTTTTTCTGTATGGATGTGTGATATGTACGGTAGTGAAATATTTTTACCTTACCATACAAGTTCATGTGCAATGGAAAATCTGTTTAGATTTTTGGTCACTTGCATAGAGAAGCAACGTTGAGCCAAGAACTGACTAACAAATTATTTTCATGTCATATAAAATATTACCTGGTCGTTTCATAAATTTCGCATTTAGATTGAAGCCGTTTGGAAGAACAACGTAGATGTTTGTTTGTGGTGACCGTAATATAGACAAACATAAACAATTTAGGACCTGGTGCAAATACGTCGTTTGTTCGTGTTACGACACATCATATCTATTCACTGAGGTAGAAAAGGCCTGAAAGAATGTAAATAAGGATACCGACAATCGAGAAGGAATAAATAAATCAAAGAAGGCATTAACAGACTTTATATCACTGCATGAACTATCTTTCGAATATTAGTTTATATTCCAATTTTGCCGTCAAAAGTTATAGTTTTCAGCTCGTTGCAAATAACGTTTTAGTACCAAAACTGATACGGTATATATTTGATGTTTTGTGAAGGTTACTGCACGACCTATTTCGTGATTTCTTCCCATAGGTTCTACAATCTGTATAGCTCTACGATATATTCCAAGTGACTTGTATGATCACTTTCCTGAATTCACTTTAAACGGTCATCTTTGTGAAAGTTTAGTAATTTTACAACTTTTTGTTTATTAATTCATGGAAGGCAGTTTTGTCTACGTAGTCTATGTAGATAGATTGCACGAATTTTTGGTTAGATAGATCATATATCGTTTATAATTGCACCAGTTAATTGAAAACCAAACAGCATTAGCAGACGTAACCTTAGAAAGACTTCTTCCAGCTCGCCTGGCAAGTGTTTGATGTGGTTGAACGGAATACCGGAGCCTAAGAATACTATGCCTATCCAGTCATTCCGAAACTGAACTCAGTTGAGAACGATTGTATTTAAAATAGTTTATTACTCAAGAACTGAAATTGTAATGGGATACAATATGAATGTTCGCAATGCACAGTCACCTGATAGTAAAGTCTGTGAAGTTAGTTTAACAGTAAAGGTTCGTGATAACTCTGAGCGTATTACTGCTCACTCAGCAACAAATCAGTCACACCCAACCACCAAGAAATTATGGTCAACCAACGTAGTTGCAACACAACTAAACATGGGTCAAGTGCTGATCTCTTAACCCTTACTTTCCTTATCATTCATGATCACTTAAATTTTTGAGCTGTATTGGTAGGTGCAAACCACTTGGTTCAAGCTCGCATTACGATCGTGATCCGTAGTTGGAAAACATATCCGGTATATCTCAAAATCGGCCACAGTTACGCAAATGGATTCACTGTTTTCTAGATTTTAAGTTTCATTGTTATTTCATGCTTAATTCATGCCTTAGATCATATTCTTTGCCTCCAGTTTTCTTTACTACCACTTTTCCAACTCATTTGTCAGTTATGTTTTTAATTTCAACCCATTATCTTACGTGTAGCGGCTTGAGTCAATATACGTCTGTGCTAATTCTTACGTTGTTTATGACCGACTGAGGAATGGTCAGAATTACTATTATATCTCTATCATCTTATTGCTCTTAAGGTTAAAATGAAATTGTGAGTTACCCTAGGTGAAAAAAAAAGTGATTTATCGTGTTAAAAATCCTACTTTTCTGGCGCTCGTTAACGTTAATGCCGTGATAAAGTAGAAAAACATGATGCAACTGGTCATGGCCAGTTCAAAAGTTGAATATTGACTAGATGTGCAAGTCGACTACTTTAATTTATAGTGTTTGTTTTAAAAAAATTGGACTTAAAATTGCTAATTAGCTCTTATTTTATTGGTGTCTAGGATATTGATGACAGCTACCTAGAATATTTCTGATTGATAACACCAGTATATACCAATAATGATTATTAAAGCTAAGAGGAATTTTGAATCACATCACATAATTACTGGTTCACTAGTCTATCAACTATGAGTGTCGTTTGATGATAGAATTTCAGTTTGACATATTTTTATTACTTCGGGATCTTTAGACGATCTCTCTGTGTCACTAGTGATTGTCACTTTCTTGTTTGTTTTCTCTGCAAAGCTGTCTACTCTCTTGGTTGGCGCGAGAATCGGTTTTCTAACCAAGAATATTCAAGGATTACTAGCCGATTTACAAGCTGTCAAACCACATTTCTTTTTCACTGTTCCTCGCGTTTTATCTCGATTGTATTCCGTTGCAATGGAAAAGGTTTCATCTGTTCCTTTACTACCTAGCATATTCCATTATGCAGTTGAATCTAAAGTTGCAGAACAAGAAAAGTAAGTGAATAATTTACACTATCATCACAGTTAAACCGTAATCAATTTTGGGTATGCAAGTGATAGATCTAATGTCCTTTTCATCTTATTATTAGCGTTCTCCAATCTACTTTTATTCTGTCTAAAACTGAAGACTTCTCAGTTGTCTATCTGGTTATCTTGACAAGCTAGCTACTCGACTGTGTTCCATCTTCTATCATTTCTCTTCTATTATCAATCATAGTAGACTTTTTTATGCTTCACTTGACAGATTGTCTACTAACAGATAGTGCAGTGAATTACTGTGAAATAATTGCCGTTTATTTTGTAAAAAAGTCATTTGCTACCTACCTCATCAGCACATATTTCCATGTATAGTAGGTTTATAGCACAGAACAAGTGAAAACTGTTGTGAATATAAATAAAGATTTACGATTAATCTATAATGTCTTGTTTTCTACAGTGATGAGTTGATCTGTTTTTTAATAGGATTTAATTCCAAATCTACATCGTCGTATAATTGTACATATCAACATTTATTATCTTGCTTGGTAGTGATCGATCTTTCTATGAGTATTGACTGTGAAATTTCAATTTAAACAAAATGTGCTTTTTGAAAATCAGAGTAACCTTTCTGGTCAACATCAAAGACATCTGACGAGTATACAACGTATTGGTAACAGCAGTGCTGTTTTATCCTTGTGTAAAATAATCCTTCCTAACTGAGGATATTCAACAGCTCACTGTTTCAATCATTTTTATTTTCAAAGGATTCCTCGTAGCCAGTGGAATCATTGAGTAAGCTATTCTGAGGTCTCGAGGTTAATGTTTTGACGTAGTAGCGGCAGTTTACCTAGTATAACTATCTCAAAACACTGGCGTTTTCAGCTCGAATATGTGTCACAAATTCTATTTCACTAACTTCCACATCGTGCATTATTTACCGATTGTAGGACACAGAGGAAAGAGTGAAAATGAGCATATATAACATTATCTAGTAGTATGAAAGATGGCATATGTCGATTCAGCAAGACTTCATATTTTCAGATTGCTTGTATTAAAAGATCACACTATTTGCATTCTGATCGTGTTAAATCTTTCATCGACTTCAATTAACTAGATACATATTTAACTCATAGAATACGTTATATATTCCCTTCATTAATCTAACTATTTAACTTGTGATTAGTTGTTAATTTGGTCGCTTTTGCCCAATAATATGATTTCCTTCCAACACTATCTGTCGTCTTACGAATAAAACGCTTTTTTAACTATTGCTTTCAACCGCAAGTTAAATGCTTCTTAGTACTTGTTAACTGAAATCTGAAAAATACTGGAACACCTCCCAGTGATAAAAATTATTTTGTTTGTGGTCACTTCATAGTGTACATTAGAAAATAACATGAATTTAGTATTCTTGTTTCATAATCGGATTAGCTGCTTTCAACTGCTTGCGTACTTATTGTTGTTTCTTCCCTTCTGCAGTCAACAAACACTAGGATAATAAGTATATACTGTTAAAATCTGTAAAGGTTAACCATTTCTTTAACCCGTACATTTTTTTACCATTTATCAACAAAGTTTTTGTTTCTAACTAAACGGTTGGATTCATTAGGGTATAACAACTACTCTGTCGGCAACAATTCCTTTGCACGTAAAGTCTTACATAATCAATTCGTGTTGGCCTTCGTCTTAAAAATACGATAGACCGAATTAAAAGCCGTTGTTGCTTAGCCGAATTCATGTTATTAAGTTAGTATTTAGAATGACTGAATACAGTTCAGCAACTGCTCACTCATCAGATAGTGAAATAAAATTTGCTCTCCACCGTTTGTGTTTACAGGAAGTAGAACAGTGAACTATTAATTTAGAGTTCAAATTCTCAAGCTGACCGTCAACCAGACTTCTTCAGAGCTTCAGTCAATCTCACTTAACTGCACTACACAATCTTCCAGTAAAATCAATTCAATATTCTGTTTTGTTGCAGTTTGTGTAATTCGGAAATGATTTTTTTCATTGATCATATCCTGTAAAGAAGATATTCTTAAATTATAAAGCACTGTTTAACACCTAACCTAAAATTTGTAACTCCTCTGATGGCATCAGCTGCCGACTATGAAGTTCCAACTAACTGTTCCCTGAGCTATCCATTCTAACTACTGTTAAGTGCTTTTCATGGTCTTGATATCTGCCTCCGATCTCCGTTGCCATCTATTTTATGGTCTGCATCTAGTCCTTGTTTACTGAAAATTTCGTGTTGGAGCCTGTCTTGTGATTCAGCTTATTATTTTCCGTAAAGTTTATGCTATCCACCTCCAGCGTCTTTTACTGGCAGCTGGTTTGTTCTCTGTCAGAGTAAATCGTTGCTGATGATCTCTGTCCTATTTTACTTGAATACTTTGCATAGACAGCTGTTTATGAATACCTGCAATTTATTAATGATGATTATGGTTGTGGTAGTTCTTCACATTTCAGCTTCGTATTGTAAAACTGTTTTAAATTTAGTGTTGAAAATTTTGACCTTTTTGTTAGGTGATAGTTGTTTGACTTTCAGATAGTCTTCATTCGTAGAGATGCTGCAATTACTTTAGAAATTCTCGCTTGATACATACATCAGATGCCGATTAATGTGTTAGCGAATTCCACAAGGTTTTTCTCCCCATGCCGTCGATTACTTCCTGATAATCAAGAAAGCTAATGTGTAACGTTAAATTGCAGCTAAATGATTGTTCGCTGATGATTGACAGTGTAGTAATTTGGTCGGTACATGATTGTCTAATATATGTCTGTGATATTCTTATTGAAATGACAGGCGCCAGTTGTTACAAGTAAATTTGCTCTGAATACACTTAACCATCCATGCTGGTTATCAAACATCACCAACAACAGTGAAGTCTCACTACTCAGATATGAATTGCGTTGAGAAGCAATCGTATAGCATTTATTTTTCGTATTCTCAAAATCATTTAAATTTATTTACTTGCAATTCATGGAAATTTACATATTATATTTAGAAAAAGTCGATGAAATGAGATTTCTTTTAAAATGCGAGATTTTATTAATTTATTTACCGGGGTATCTTAATTTATTTTCGCAACGTATTAAGTTAGTACTTATGTACTCTAATTTGGTTCCAGATAGTTGTGTGTACACCATTTAATATTGATACCCCATCACCCCATTCTCAGTAGTTATCACGAGATTCAAACCTGTGACATTTTATTTGAAAAGTAGGTGCTTAGGCATGAAGCCCCCTCTTCTAACATTACGATAATTGTGGTTCGCTGACTTGCATATTGGTAGAAGATAAGAGTTGGAATAGATGTTATTTTTATTTTTGTGGAGAAGTGACGTGATTCAATTGAGTTGAGAAAAACTATTCAATGATTACTTGAATAACTCTTATGATTCATAAAACCACCGAGTGTATAAAAATAAAAGTTATGTGAATAAGTTACATGTCTTTACGCGCCTAAATAGTAACCGTAATCCATCATTGTGACGTTATTTTACTGATGAAACAGAAATCGGAATCCTGTAATATATTGCCTTGTCTTCAGGAATTTTCTTGGTACCTTAAGTGGTCTATCGTCATTTTTTTACTACATGGTAATTTATTTTTCCGGGATTCAATCCTTTACAGTGAGATGAATTTGAAATAATAATGTAAAATGGTGATGTAAAATATAATAACAATAGGTTTTCAATTGAATATGAACTATTTCATAATGGTTAAGTAAATTTTCTAACGGATTTTTCCATCATGAGGCAATTGAATTTTTCACACAGTCAAGACCGTCAGTTGATAGTTCTCTGAGTTACTAGGATCGTGTCCATCATTGCATTTTAGAACGTAAGGTTAATATGGTCAGTTCTTATAAAACTAAGCAAGTGAGTATCATATTCATTTAACTAATAGTAATAATAAAAAGAACTTTTTACTAGAAATTTTAAATAATCAAAAAATATTGCATTTAACCATCATCACCATACGAAATCGAATGTCGTCGAAATGACTCTGTTATTATTGTGTTGATGAGAAACGTGCTTGGAAGCATTTAATTACACAAAATGAAAAGTTCACATATTGAGATCTATCATCTAGTTCAATTTTTGTTTGTTTCTTGTAATATCTATCATGTTATTGTAGCGTTCAGTATTGAAGTGAATAAAAACAACCTTGACCTTGGAAAATGAAAGTTTTGTGACCTTCAGAAGGACAACTTATGTTTAGTTTCACAAGTACGCCTATATCTTCGTTCTTTTTTAAATGTACTTTCATTACGATCTAAATAATCCAACAATTCTTCGTTTAGTTGCTTAAAATTAAGTAAGAAAATCGATAGAGATCATTTCTGATAGATTCATTACTTTATGTCTTTAAATTCTACTTACAAAGTAATCTAACTTGATGAAATTCAAGTGAACAAATAAAACCTCAACAAAATTTTGCGATTACTATTTGACTAGACGCCAATACAAAATGATCAATTCGGTATGGAATATAAAGAAAGAATAAAGTCGACATCTAGATTTAGATGGTGGTTGGAGGTAGTCAACAGGAAACCCTGGACCCGGGTTTCGTGCTACTTGGCACTCGTCAGCAAGGTGTACCTGTAATCTTGAGGGAACTGGTGCTCCCTGGCGGATAGCTCAGTGATAACGTCTCTGACTGTGAAGCTGGGTGACACGAGATCGAATCCGCCAGGGAGCACCAGTTCCCTCAAGATTACAGGTACACCTTACTGACGAGTGCCAGGTAGCACGAAACCCGGGTCCAGTGTTTTCTGTTGACTACCTCCAACTATCATCTAAATCTCAATACATAGTGCCCACAGTGTCGAGTCACCTAGACTGGTGGCCACATTGCAACATGATCGATAGCATTCGATCTGCACTAATAAGGACTAGACAAGCATGACATTGATCACCATCCAGTGATCAATCAATTGTAAAGGTTGACATCTTTAAACTCAGCCTAATACACACAGCAAATAATTAAATTTTTGATTATCTGAATCCACGTTCAGTGTTTACTCATTTGACTTCATATCTAAACTTGACGTAAAATATAGCAACTTGATTGAGTTGAATTTATTTTTATGCACATGAATAGATAACAGTCTTTCTGCATTTAAATACAGAAACGTTTCTATATAATGGATACTGTCAGTGGTAAAGTTACATGAACAAATTTTCAGCTTATATAAATTGGAATGAAGGTGATGGTTGACTGAGTTTTTTAAAAGTAATAAAGACTGGTAGAAATACAGCCGGTATTCATAAGTTGTCAATAAATTGTTTTCATTTCAGTGTATTCGCGTAAACTATCAACTAAACCTGGAAAATAAATAGCGACAGTTAACATACTTCAATATTTAGAAATCTCTAATTTATTAAAAAATAATCTGTGTTCACAGAGGAAAATTAGTCAGAGCTGATTAAATGAAAGCAACAGATCACCAATAATCTTTTAAGTTACAAAACTCGTTCAGTTCATTTCTGAGTTGTCAGTTGATATACCGTTATACATGGATGACATTATTTAGAGCTATATTACCTTGTATCAATTTGTGTGAACTGTATTGAGTATGTGCTTCACAGTAACCCTGTGCATTTCCGACTATATGCGGGATTACAGAATATATGTAAAAATTAATATATAAATAGTTGTATTTTGGTCTAATGACGATGCGATTTCAGAACTTGTGTAAAATGTTTTTGGGCAGACAGTAAATCTTCATTGCATCAGTCTTTTGTGTTGTTTCTTTGCGTCGTAGTAATTGCAGTAGTTTCCGTCTCATAGTATAAACAGTAGGATTTAGTAGTAAGACAGAGTATCCATCCAGATATAACAGTAACGACTGCCTATATATAACATTAGGCGATCCGGATGTAACAAGGTCGACCACCCAGATATAACATCAACCTTAATTGAAACCTTTACAAAAAGAACTGGCAAAAGACAAAACAATATTTTTAGAACGAATATAATCTGGTAGTTTAACTATTCACAAATTTCACTGTTAGATTATTTTTGTCGATGAGTGATATCACCTCGTTCAGAAGTAAATGCGCTACTGAGTATAATCAACACAAGATTGATAGACCGGCGTTGTAGTGATTTTTAACACGCCCTAGAACACTTCTGTGAGCTATTGTCGATTCCAAACCTGGGTAAAGAAAAAGGGTTTGCCTTAGAGTTAACAACCACACCTAGAATAGTGTAAACTCCGACACAACTAACCAGAAAAGCCAGCAAAACTCTATCCTAAGATGTGAAAGGTCTTCATGCGAAAGAGTTATGATACATGGTTGTCTTCGAAAGCCACGATTCTGATGCTGCTCTTGGCAACGCCAGCAGCAATTAATCTAGGTAAGTAGAGAGTCGCACAATATATTATACCAGGAAGATCATTCAAAAAGCCAGAGAATCGAGAATATGCGTTTTGGTTCTCCTTCGAATAAATAGGCTCCATTGAACGCAAATTAAAAAGAAAAGACTTGCTTGTATTCTGATAATGAAAAAGAAAATACTCCACAAATACAAAAAGTTCCTCTAATGCTCTCCAAATAAGCATAAATAACATTTATGAGATGGGAAATTCATGGCTACAGGATCATCACGGAACACCTTTTTTGTTTTGAATTTTGTCATAATAGAAAAGGTTTCCGTTGCTTTGGGATATTCAGATTACTTATGTCAATGCTTTTGAAACAACTCATTATAGTTGTATTACGTTTGTGATTGCTCGTTTTTTGTTTTACTTACAATCTCTTTTATTCCATTTTTCACTGTGAAATATATACTACTGAGAAAACGTTTATAGATACGCTTTGAAGTTGAAAATTGTGTATAGGATATAATACCTAGATTAAGGTCACTGCATTTTACTCATTATTTATTTTTATGACTGAAGATGATTGCTCATCAATGTACACGTCTTTGTTATTGAAGCCAGTTCTGCTATATTTGAAATGACTACGAGTTCACCTAATCTGCGAACGGAACGAAGACTCAGTGATACAATGGGAATCTATTCCACAATCATCCAGAAGCACGAACAACAACAAACACAACACAAGTGTATATATGGAGCGTAAAAATGTCCTTGGAGAACGTTACAAAATGACATATTTGAAGAGACAACGAACCAATAGCATTTAAGATCCTTCCAAGTGGGAAATACGACATGAAGATGAAAATGGGTGCTTTTGGCGAGAAAACAAAAAATTTAAATTTTAAAATAGAATTACAAAAATGAGGTATTTACTAAGCGAGTTCTGGAGATCTAACGCCTCCAACAGTTCCAAATTACAATAAATTCTGGATTCCTGAGTATTTAATTTTACCACGAGTAATATGTATTCGCTGGCTCTTTTTTCTGTGACTTACACCTTAATTCACTTTACAAATTTATCGTTGACCAAACTTTTCATCGTATGACACGAGCTGTATTTTACAGAGTTACACACCTAATAGTCGTTAAAGCCTTGTACAATTTTTCCAAACGGTTAAATAGTAAGATAAAATTATTGATTGAAACTCAGATTTGGATTCTCAAGATGCGTTATTTGAAAGAAACTTATGAGAATATTAGATTACTTATGTTAGTCAGTTTTAACGTCACACTATTTGTATTCCTTTTTTTCTCTAATCGTATCTCAAAATGCTCAATCCTTTCTGTCATGACTCTTGTTACTACCTATACAGAATTTGATTTGACAATTTTATCTTGATGTACTAATGGGGTATGGCAACTTAAACTAATGTACATATGTATCAGGTTGTTCACTGAGTTTAACTGACACTTTTACGTTTAATTTGTTATTACTTCAGAAATATATACGATAATTCAAGTATTTGGGACTTTATATTCTTCAATAAAATTAGACGAATTTTGGGTGGTCGTGTCAAAGTAATAGTCTCTGGTAGTGCACCCGTTGCAAGTGAAATTTACGTTTTACACGGGGAGTTTTTGGCTGTCCAGTAAGTAAATGTTTGTTTTGATTATATATATATATATATATATATATATATATATATATATATATATATATATATATATATATATATATATATATATATATATAACACTTGAACACCCATGAACCTGGATTTAATCAGTAATGCTTTTTCGAAATCGGCGTTGTTTTCATACAATTCATTCTGTGGCATGAAGATATTCAACAACTAAAATTAAACAGATTTATCATTCAAATAAAAAAGAACAGACAATCAGATAAAAACTAATCGTCTGCGTATCTGTACTTTTGATGTAAGTCACTATTATATTTCAGATCCACTGACATCCCCCAATTTCACTGACTCAGAATGATTTTGGTTTAAATTAGTTGTCGTAACTGTCACTTTTGTTTAAGTTATCTAAGACATATGGAAGCCACGCGAATAACAATGTTTTCAGATAGTGTTGCTACGTATACTAACTGTAGAAAGGAATTTACACTGAAGATAAGAATTGTGAGTGTATATACTGAAGACATGGATGGTGGTTAGCAGTAGGATCCAGGACTCTCATTTCGTCCTATTGGATACTCATCAGGTGGATGTATCTGCATCGCAAAGTTGGTGTTTACTCCGAGACTCGAACCCAATACCGTTCGCTTCAAATGCCATAGCGTTATGAGACTGTTCAATTGCAGTCCTAAACATCAGTGGGAAAACTCAAACAACCAGTACGAAAACGAATTGTATACTGAATAGCTATTCAGTGTCTGATAACTAGAATGAAATTTCTTATTCATTACATCGCTATGCGATTTTCGAATTTGTAGTTGAAAATCAGATTTCTCAGTCGCGGATATACCTTTTCAGTGAGCCTCTATAAGCATGAAACTAAAATCTATAACATCTTGTCAGTCATCTTCAAAATCTAACATCATACGACCCTGTAATGTATCTGATATTATTGAACGTACGCTAATTAGAATAGGTTCTGCAGTACTCACAGTGAATCCATTAGCTTTCATTTCCAGCAATACAGGTTAAAATAGGATCGTGATTTTTCTAGAAATTTCTGTAAGTATTGAAGCTAATTATTTGTAAAACTGTTACTTTCCGTAAAGTAGAACCGTGGTTCAATGATGTAACTGTGACGTGTAATTATTTGATAACAGGTTTAAATGTTTCTGCTACACTAAATTCGATTTCCGTAGTAGAATATATGTTATCAGCAACACATTGATAGTATCTTTACTGAGTAGTGAATTTATCTACATTTTCTTGCTTGGTTTCAATAAATGGATATCGTCATACGCGAGTTTCATCCAATTAATAACTCCATCATGCTACCATAACATCACTTTGTGAACATATTTATTGTCTAGTCAGTACTATCAGAATGAATTCGGGTTATAAACGGTGAATAAGAAGGCAATTTTATTGACTGATATGTCTCATTCCTGTTTACATTTATTCTTAAGCACTGAAAAAATTCTTTTTGTTTGATCATTGTTATTCTTTAATGGATATGCCCATGGTAAACCCAAGATACAGACAGATGTACACATAGATAAATATAACGTTAATCAAGTCTAGATACTATGTTGAAATGAATGAGTGTACTTGAAATGTGACGAATTGGCGAATAAATATATATTCAATAGTAAAAAGGGTAACTCACAGTGAATCGAAACACAGTTGAAATCCATGCCTAATATTCGGTTTAAGTGCTACTATTTGGTTCATGAAAACTTATTCCTAAAAATAACATCACCCAATATATTAAATTTAGATGCCTTTCAACATAATACTATTTGAATTTCACTTAGAACAAAGTGCAGTGTCTGCTTCAGGATTATAAAATACATGTAATTCAAATTGGAGCTTCAACATACCAACTATCGAATAGACAACCGAATATTATCTATAGATCCTCTCCCACTAATCCAGAACATACATCGTTTGAGGATCAGTACGTACGCCTGTATTTCGATGCACGTTCTGCTTTCGCCCGTTACCCCTCATGGAGGAGCATAGGCCGCTCACCAGCACTCTCCATCCAACTCTGTCCTTGGCAATCCTTTCCGATTTCTATTTATCCTTTTCATATCTGCTTCCAGTTCTCGGAGCAGTGTGTTCTTTGGCCATCCTCTTTTCCGTTTCCTTTGAGCATTACAAGTTAGTGCTTGTTTAATGATGCAGTTTGGTTATTTCCTCAATGGGTGTCCTATCAACCACCGACGTCTTTTCCTGATTTCCTTCTCAGTTGGAAGTTGGTTTGTTCTCTCCCACAGTAGACTGTTGCTGATGGTATCCTGCCAACAGGCATTTAGTATCTTACGTAGACAGTTGTTTATAAATACTTGTACATTTTGATGATGGTTGTGGTAGTTCTCCAAGTTTCAGCTCCTTACAGTAGGGCTGTCTTGACGTCCGGATTGAAGATTCTGACTTTGATGTTGGCTCATTGTTGTTTTGAGTTCCATATGTTCTTCAGTTGTGGGAATCCTTCCCATGCTTTGCCAATCTTTACCTTTACGTCAGTGATTGGCTTGCCTTCTTTGTCGTTGGCCGGTCTCTCTGGTTTACAATATCTCCCTGCTAGTTTCTTCGTTGTATCATATGGTTGTTTCATATTACCTTCTCTTGCAACTTTTTACACTTTCGTTGCTAGTTCTTCCACGTATTTCTGCTTGTCGACTCTAATGATCTTCTTCACTTGCTTGTCTACTTCTATGTATTCAGCTTGTGCCTTAACTTTCTGTTTCTTGTTCGGCTGCTCTTAATTGCTGTCTTCTTGTTCTTTCTTTCCTTCTTGAATCTTGTGTGGGGTTTCGATAGTGATCCGTTCCTTATGATGTTTCTTGTGAACGAGCACCTCCTGACATGTTGAAGTTAGTGCTTCTTTGATCCCTTTCTAATCGTCCTCCATAGTAGCTTGTTGTTTTTCTTCCAGTAGATCCTGTAAGGCTTGGGACCTGTTGTTGAGAGTTATCTTAAATTCGTTGAGTTTATCAGTGTGTCGAAGGAAGGCTGTATTGAACTTTTGTAATGCTGTTCCCTCAGCTGTCCAATGCTTCCTTAACTTCAGTTTCGTATTGGCCACAACCAGGTGGTGATAAAAGGCTATGTCAGCTCCTCTCCTGGTTCTCACATCTTCCATTGACCTTGAGAATTTTTTATTGATACAAATATGATCTATCTGGTTCTCTGTGGTGTGGTCCGGTGAGACCCATGTAGCTTGGTGTATGCGTTTGTGTGGGAATATTATGCCACCTATAACTAATTTGTTGAATGCACATAGATTTGCAAATCCCTTGCCATTCTCGTTCCTTTCTCATAGTCCATGTCGTCCCATGATATCTTCATAATCGTTGGTGTTTATCCCGACTTTGGCGTTTAGATCTTCCATCAGGATGGTCAGGTCTTTTCCTGGGCACTTCGCTATGATCCATTGCAGCTTCTCGTAGAACTGATCTTTATCGTCGTCATTGCTATCATTAGTGCTTGCATCACATTGAATAACATTTATTGTAATTCCCGCCTTCTTTGTTTTGAATGATGCTTTGATGATCCTGGGTCCATGAGATTCCCATCCTACAAGTGCATTTTCGTGCTTCTTTGGACAGCATCAGAGCAACTCCCTGAGTGTGTGGAGCATTTTCCTCTTCGTGACCGGAGTACAGCAACACCTCTCACGTATCTATGCCTTTGCTGTCCAGCTTGGGTCCAATGGGTTTCGCTGATTCCGAGAACCGCCAAATTGTATCTCCTCATTTCCGTTGCTATTTGACTGATGCTCCCGGTCTCCCACATAGTCCGGACGTTCCATGTACCTATAAAAATTGTTGCTCTGGTTGTTAAAAGGGGCGTCAGCCTCGCGACTTACGAAGAATCTCGGCTTTCTTCATGAGGCGTCATCATTCTTCCTTCAACTCCCAGGGCAGAGTCTAAATGGTTAGTTTGTTTATTCTGGTTAGCGTTTTTTTAGCAAGGTTGTTTTCTAAGGGATGGGGTTGCCGACCTCATGCCTAACACTCCTTCTTTACCCGGTCTTGTTATCTGCCTGTATCCTTAGAAGATATACAGGTGGAGTTATTTCGATAAATATGTTACATTGATGAGTTCTACAAACTCACTATTTAATTAGGCATTAAAACATCCAAATATTAAGCATTGCTAACTGAAAGATTTCACCTCCACTATATTCATCCACTGTGTGTAACCTATTCTTTTGATATAAATAATAATATATTTTTTTCTTTTAAAAAAATACATTTTTAATAGGTAATAGTCGGTTATGGTTTAAGTGAATCATGTGGCGTTATTACGCTTACACTGTTTGGTGATAAAACCCTGGATCATGTTGGTGCGCTCATCCCAGGAGTTTCAGCCAAACTGGTAGATGTACCGCATATGGGTATCAGCGTTGACAAGATGAAAATGGGTGAAGTAAGTATTCGTTATCTATTAATTGGTCAGTGGCTTAATCGGTAAACAAAGAATTTCACCCATAATATTTTCAATATTAGTTTATCTTCATTAGTGTAAAATACGAGAAGCGCGAAAAATGTTTGAAATTAGGTTTCAACCGATAAATATCTGTCAGCCTGGTACTCTTCATAGGTTTCCTGCAGTTAAATCGTTACGTAATTGTTAGGTGATAGATTGTTTTATTTCTACAGGTTGTTGTATGAACATGATATTTGATCTAAGAATAATTACCTTCACAAACGATAGCAGTTAAAAAAAGCCAGAGAGCTCAGTACTCAGGTTTTCATTCATTAGTGAAGTGTTTCATTATATCTGTATCTTAGTTCAATATGTGACTAAATTAATCAACCTAATTTTCTCAACTGGACATAAAAGTGTCCGTATAACTGTTATGAAGATTCTCTATATCCAATGCAAATATCCAAATATTTAGGTTTAACTTGATTCAGCGAATGGTTATCCATTTAATAACCATTCAAAACTATGGACTTCCGTAGAAGAACTACATGGCTTTTTGTCTTTTATTAATCATCAAACATATGAATAATTCAGATTAATATGCGCGGAGAATTAATAAATTGATGGATTAAATTCGCTTGCTGGATATCAGTTTACTGTTTCACTCTTTATGTATCAACTTTATCTATCCTCAATGGGTCAGTATAGTAATAATATACGAAATACACTGCACCTAGTCCCGTCTAAGAATCAAGTTAGTATCACTAGCCCTCACACAAATGGTATGGCTCATAGTCGAGTACACAAACTTGTGTGTGATAAACGAGTGACTAGTATACGAGTAGTTGTGTCACTATTCTTTTAAGAAAACTGGTGGATTTTCGGATATATTTTATAAGGGTACATTTGTTGCTAGTACTCATGATATCAGCAATTAATTTGCACTGCATCGGTTGATCGATATTGCTAATATCAGTTAGTCAAAAATCGTCGCGTGCTAAAACACTTACTTATTAAGACTAAATATCAGATGTCAGTTCACTTACAGTTTCTTCTTGATTTCATTTATCTTCCTATCAATTGTACAGGTATGTGTTAAAGGCCTAAATTGTACTCAAGGGTATTACAGGGATGAAGAAAGCACAAAACAACTCATTGACAAAGATGGATGGTTGCATACTGGTGACATTGGCAGTTGGACAAAAGTATGTTCTCTAACTAATAAGAGGATTTTTAGTCTAGTGGTTTATCTTTGTACCCAACCTATCATCTTTCATAGACCATTAGTTATACTTAGATTGACTTTAGTTTTCCAAAAAAATAAAAACTCGTTATTGTCTGGGGAAAAATGAGTTCAGTTACATATTAACAGCGTACTAATCCTTTATTATCCTTGATCCAAATAATTCTTGTTGAGTTATTCCGATATCGCTAAATCAAGTGCAGTTCGCGACGGTGCAATTGTTACAATTACTATCACCATACAATTTATTAATCAGTTAATGGGAAGTGATACTAACTAGAGACCATAATAAAGGCTTTTATCGGATCCATGACCCATAAAGCTTTTAATCCCAAGCGCACCACATACTCCCAGGTATATTTAGTTGATGAATATCCACAAGCAAGTAGGCTTTACCTATGACTTTTTAACTGTTTGGGACGACCCAGTACTGAACCATGTGGCTTATAAGCTTTGAAATTGGCTTTTGATATCCAGTAGACGGGAAGTTGTTGATTATTGAACAAAAATATTGTCGCCTTCAAATTCCGCTCCCACCAGTAACATGATAATCATCAGTGGCATAAGTGTAACTTTAATTGACTATTGTTTTAATTTATCTCCAGTTGCTTTTATTTAACTATGCAACATAAAATCTAATTCATTCGATTTACATACACTAAGGTTGGACCCACCTTACTCAAATATTAAACGGAATGATCAATATAGCCCTAGTTGATCACTGAATTTTAATAATGTACATAAACCTTCACTTGAAGCATACTGTACACATTTGATGTAGTGATTTACATTCTCATTAAATCCAAAATCAACATTTCAACATGGCTGAATAAGCGTTCTGTGCGAAATTCTTTTTGGTCTTATTTACCTTGAAGAAGTTCAAACCCACATTACCGGATAAAACGTCGAGATTTCAGTAGCTCAGATTCTTACAAACATAATTTCATATCTAATGTCTTTTAATTTACTTAGTTGAGCCTGTTACCACTGTATATGATAGACTACTAAACAGGAACCTCCAGTCAGTTTTTACCCTAGACTCTTATCCGGTTATTACTGATTGCTTGATTTCTACCTCCGATCTCCGAAGCCATATTTTTTGGTGTAAATCAGTGCAGTTCCGCCGTAGTTCTATCACTTCCTAATATCACCAGTATCTAATAAACGGATCTCTCCGGTTTCATATCAATTTTTCTTCATCCCAAATCTTTGTGAAAGGAAAGTAGGGCATCTTTACAGTTGCTTATGTTTCTAACTTCAGTGCTTTAGCTAGTAATTGTCTGGTGCTCTGCAGTTCTTGATTTGTGTAATGAATTTGATGGTTTCTTCCATTGTTGGTCGGGTTCCAGGTATTAGCTTATATACATTTCTTTAAACCTTTTACGATAGCTCTCTGTGTGTTTAGGTAAGGGCTAAATGCTTGTATGCAATACTTCAGTTTTTATCAAGTGAACACCACAAAGTCAGGAATGGAAGCTCTACGTAACGGCTATAAGTTTTCAAGACATTTACCATATATTGCATGGCAGTGCTCAGTAGTCTTCAAATATTGGATGATATTGACTCCTGCATCATTTATTGTCTGAACAACGGGTAGCTCGACGTTGTTCGCTGTGTATGTATTTGTACCCTGGTGACCAATATACATCACAATACATTTGGAAACGTTTAAGTGCAAGTACCGAATTCTAAATAATTCAAATCGTTGCTATACGATTTTCTGTGGCTATGAACTGTCCTCTTAGTGTTGTATCGCTCTCCGTATTTTGATATTCTCTGTGTGTAACAAGATCGATAATAATAGAAGACTGAGAAGGTCATTTGCATATAGAGACAATAACACTGGTCCCCAAACTACCATGGGAGATCCCACTAGGAACTTTTCATCCAGACAACTTGCGGTCAACCGATACTCTTTGTTGCTTTTGATTTTTGAGAACATACCAAATTTATTGTGCTTTTAGTTTGTCGAGATAATCATATTTTCATCTAGATAATTAAACTACGTTTTTGAAATCATTTTCCTGAGTCTAGTCTACATCAGTCAACTGGGAATATTCATTTCTTTGTTCATCGTTGTTCATGTATCTTTTGGTTATTGACTTCATATTAAACAAATGGTTACTTTGTATATTGCAGGTTTTCTTTTTACATTTCCATCTTTTTGTTTACCTATGTGATTTGTTTTTTGTTTTTTTAATTTCTAGGAAGGTTCTTTAAAAATTGTCGACAGGTGTAAAAACATATTTAAACTCTCACAAGGCGAGTATATTGCACCAGAAAGATTGGAAAATATCTACCAACTCAGTCCAGTAGTTGAGCAAATCTTTGTTGATGGCAATTCACTCAACGATTTTCCAGTAGCTGTAGTTGTACCAAATATCAAAGAGTTGACTAAGCGCATAGTGGCTAAGGCGAATTTAAATGACCCATTGTTATTGAACGGTAATAAAGAAGAGACTGAGGTGTCTAAATACAATTTCAATGATTCTATTCCAATAGTAGATACGTCAACACTATGTTCACAGCCTGCAGCACGTAAAATTGTTGTTTCAGAATTAGAAAATTTAGGAAGGAAAAGAGGACTAAAAGGATTTGAGATAGTAAGATTTTTGAAACAGTTTTTTTCAGAGGTTTTAGTCTTTTGCTCCTTTGATACTTCAGTAAAATTTTTATGTATTGTATTGTACTCGGGCTGCTTTAGCTATTAACCTAAGATCTTTGATTCTCAAACTCTAAGTCAAAATAATGAGTGGATTATGGAAGCAGTTTTTTGAGGGTTAGATTATACGCAAAAAAGGTTTGGGTAAATGATGTTAAAGTTGATATTTTATGTGGTAATCTTTCGGTCAGATTTAAGTGAGCATAATGCATTCTTTTCTAATCTTTTGTTAGTTTTTAAAGAACATTTCGTTTTTGAAGCTTTTTGGGACGTTCTCCGTCTTCTGAAGCGTTTTTCAAAGAATTACAGAGTGCACTCAGCGTCATCCTATTTCACTAGAAACAGTGCTAGAGATTGTAATCGGTATAGGGGTTACAGAACAAAGTTAGTTTTGTTTACCTTTAATTTCGAATAGTGCATCTAGTAACTCTCCTCAGGAAACAAAGTCAATTTATTTTATTTATTATGATGTTAGATCAGAGAACGCTGTAAACATGAAATAAGCGACAGTTTTTCTAGTCTCTAGCATAATATCCGGGCAGATTTCTGCTTTCTTGTGTTGAATAATTTCTGGTAATCCTGCAAATAAACCAACGTGATGATTACTTTGAATATGTAGATTTGTACGTGTATTGTTTGACATAGAGATACCAACAAATCTGAACTTATGTAATCTCATCGATTTATTCCCGACTACTGAAGTGAGAAGTTATAATGTGATCTCGCTTCTCAATTTCCCTTTCACCGAAGGAATAGATTAATTTATCTTCAGGAACAGGCTTGAGTAAAGCATTTAAACTGTACGGTACAGTAGTTTCTACTGTATTATTTCCCAAATGAAAGAAACACAGTCAGAAATATTAATCCAATCACGCGGATGTATATTGCATGAAATAGGCTAAAGTGAACAAGGAATATCCTGAATGGTTGTTGGGAACTATTGTACCTATAGACATTTTACGGGATTTTTTAATTAAAGACACTCTAACGTTCAGTCGAACTCTGCCTAAAGCTCTTCTAGGTCTAATGCAGGTCACAAGACCGGGTAAAGAAGGAGTGTTAGGCATGAGGTCGGCAACCCCATCCCTTAGAAAACAACCTTGCTAAAAAAACGCTAACCAGAATAAACAAACTAACCATTTAGACTCTGCCCTGGGAGTTGAAGGAAGAATGATGACGCCTCATGAAGAAAGCCGAGATTCTTCGTAAGTCGCGAGGCTGACGCCCCTTTTAACAACCAGAGCAACAATTTTTATAGGTACATGGAACGTCCGGACTATGTGGGAGACCGGGAGCATCAGTCAAATAGCAACGGAAATGAGGAGATACAATTTGGCGGTTCTCGGAATCAGCGAAACCCATTGGACCCAAGCTGGACAGCAAAGGCATAGATACGTGAGAGGTGTTGCTGTACTCCGGTCACGAAGAGGAAAATGCTCCACACACTCAGGGAGTTGCTCTGATGCTGTCCAAAGAAGCACGAAAATGCACTTGTAGGATGGGAATCTCATGGACCCAGGATAATCAAAGCATCATTCAAAACAAAGAAGGCGGGAATTACAATAAATGTTATTCAATGTGATGCAAGCACTAATGATAGCAATGACGACGATAAAGATCAGTTCTACGAGAAGCTGCAATGGACCATAGCGAAGTGCCCAGGAAAAGACCTGACCATCCTGATGGAAGATCTAAACGCCAAAGTCGGGATAAACACCAACGATTATGAAGATATCATGGGACGACATGGACTATGAGAAAGGAACGAGAATGGCAAGGGATTTGCAAATCTATGTGCATTCAACAAATTAGTTATAGGTGGCATAATATTCCCACACAAACGCATACACCAAGCTACATGGGTCTCACCGAACCACACCACAGAGAACCAGATAGATCATATTTGTATCAATAAAAAATTCTCAAGGTCAATGGAAGATGTGAGAACCAGGAGAGGAGCTGACATAGCCTTTTATCACCACCTGGTTGTGGCCAATACGAAACTGAAGTTAAGGAAGCATTGGACAGCTGAGGGAACAGCATTACAAAAGTTCAATACAGCCTTCCTTCGACACACTGATAAACTCAACGAATTTAAGATAACTCTCAACAACAGGTCCCAAGCCTTACAGGATCTACTGGAAGAAAAACAACAAGCTACTATGGAGGACGATTAGAAAGGGATCAAAGAAGCACTAACTTCAACATGTCAGGAGGTGCTCGTTCACAAGAAACATCATAAGGAACGGATCACTATCGAAACCCCACACAAGATTCAAGAAGGAAAGAAAGAACAAGAAGACAGCAATTAAGAGCAGCCGAACAAGAAACAGAAAGTTAAGGCACAAGCTGAATACATAGAAGTAGACAAGCAAGTGAAGAAGATCATTAGAGTCGACAAGCAGAAATACGTGGAAGAACTAGCAACGAAAGTGTAAAAAGTTGCAAGAGAAGGTAATATGAAACAACCATATGATACAACGAAGAAACTAGCAGGGAGATATTGTAAACCAGAGAGACCGGCCAACGACAAAGAAGGCAAGCCAATCACTGACGTAAAGGTAAAGATTGGCAAAGCATGGGAAGGATTCCCACAACTGAAGAACATATGGAACTCAAAACAACAATGAGCCAACATCAAAGTCAGAATCTTCAATCCGGACTGTTATATCCTAGTGAAGATTAAATTACAGGTAACTTCCAAGGACTATTAATGGACTAATATTCTATAAATATTCTTATTTTTTTTTTTTTCAACAATTACATTATGTATATTTATATTCCTCTTATTACAAGCTTTATTTTGACCTTTAATTCATTATTGTACGGTTTACGGTTCTTAAGTTATGTTCAGTTTATTAACTAATGCCTCCCACATTCACAGCCACTTTTTGGCTTATTTGTGTACAAATATTATTTCCTATTTTATGGTACGTTGCGGTCTGTGTGATTGATATATAAACCAAGTATGCCTGAAATAAACGATCTGGATCTCTGATTCGGAAGCTGGTATTGTGTTCTGTACTCAAGTGGAAGGGCTCGTAGGACATAGGACCAATAAGGACGCTAAACTGCCCACACCGGTTGAACGTCATTGGTTGGCCTAGTGTGAAGATTCGTATAAGTCGTATTCGGATTGGTAGATAAATCGTGTGATAGAAAAACCAGACACCCAAGGTCATAACAATTGGCGACGGGGATTTTGGCAACAAAGAAATAATAATAATACAAGTGGTGACTCAGATTTTGGAAATAAATTAGCTGTTATAATTGCCGGTGATTTTTGGAGCTAATATTATTGGCAAAAAAAAATGTCGATTTCCTTAGAACAGTTGCAGTTATTATTACAACAAAGCAGCAACAATATCAACAACAGCAGCAGCAGATGTTAGCTTCTCAACAGAGACTCTTGGAAACACTTTTGGGGAAACTATCTATCCAACAAGAGATTCCAGAACATAAAAGTATCGAGTCATACCTTAATCCAGTTTCAGAATTTATATTTGATGCAGACAATGGTCACACTTTTGAAGCATGGTTTGGCAGAATTGAAGATATTTTCCGAGTTGAATTTGCTGCTATAGATGATGCAAAGAAAGTCGGCTGCTATTACAGAAACTTGGTCCTAATGAGCATCAAAAGTATAAAAACCATATTCTGCCTAAACATCCACGAGAAGTTAATTTCGATGAAACTGTTAACATCCTAAATAAAATGTTTTGTGAACAGTCGTCTTTATTCCGTATCCGGTATAACTGTCTACAGCTGACTAAAGGGCTGATGAAGATTATACTACGTACGCCGGAAGAGTAAATTTACAAGCAGAACGATTTAAATTAAATGTATTAACCAGTGATCAATTTAAATGCTTATTATTTATTTCTGGTCTGAACTCTCCTGTTGATGCTGACTTTCGCATGAAGTTGTTATCCCGTATGGAACATGATGATGAAATGACGTTACAAACTATCACCACTGAATGTCAACGATTAATAAACCTAAAACAAGATACAGCTATGCTGGAAACCAAAAGTGCTGCGCCATCAAATTCTGTTCATGCTGTTAAGACAGGTCAAAGACAAAATAGTACCAAAAGTCATAAATATCACTCGAAAACTCCTAAACCTGCAACTAAATGTTGGTATTGTGGTGCGTGGCATTTCTCAAGATTTTGCCGGTTTAGAAATCATAGATGCACTATATGCAATAAAGTTGGCCACAAAGAATTAGTCTGCCGAACTAGAGAAAGTTTAAGATCAAAACGAACCAGACGTCCGCACCAGTACGAAAATAAGTATATAAACAGCGTATATTCTACACTGGCTCTAAGCGTAGCGAATAAAAGAAGATATGTGGAATTAATTGTTAATGGTGTTTATATTCGATTGCAATTGGACACAGCGTCAGATATCACACTAATCTCGAAACGAACGTGGTATTTAATTGGGTGTCCGAAAGTATTACCAACAGAGCACACTGCACGGAATGCGTCCGGAGATATATTGAAACTTGTGGGAATGATAAAATGCTCTGTTAAATTCCGAGGTAATTACTTTACAGGAAATTGCTACTTAACGAACAGACATGAGTTAGACCTTATTGGTATAGACTGGATAGATAAACTAAATTTATGGGATGTACCATTAAATGAAATATGCACAATGAAAGGCGCAAATAATCCTAGAGATCCACCCGCAGTTCATGTAACCAAGAAAGTCGTAACGATAGAAGATCTTTTGCAGAAACATAAAAACTTGTTCCAGAATAAATTGGGATGCTGCACAATTGAGAAGGCAAAATTATACCTACGACAGGATGTAAAACCTGTTTTCCGTCCAAAGCGTCAAGTTCCATATGCAGCTATTGACAAAGTCGACAAAGAATTAGACCGACTAGAGAAACTCGGTGTTATACAACCTGTTAATTATTCGGCATGGGCAGCACCAATTGTAGTAGTTCAGAAAGCGAGCGGAGCTATTCGCCTTTGTGCAGACTTTTCAACAGGATTAAATGACGTTTTACAAAATCATTCATATCCATTACCTTTGCCAGAGGATTTATTTATTAAACTGAACGGTGGACGTTATTTTTCTAAACTTGATTTGTCTGAAGCTTACTTACAGGTGGAAGTTGACGAAGATTCAAAGGAGTTATTAACCATTAATACCCACCGTGGACTTTATCGATTTAACCGATTACCGTTTGGTGTTAAGCCAGCTCCAGCAATTTTCCAGCAGATAATGGATACTATGGTGTCTAACATCGAAGGTGTAGCAGTTTATTTGGATGATATTATAGTTGTTGGCTCTTCCGCGCAGGAATTAATGCGTCGGTTAGATGTGGTGCTCACTAAAATATCACAAGCTGGGTTTCAGTTACAAAAAGAAAAGTGTGAATTTCTGCTCGAGTCTGTTAAATACCTGGGATATATATTTGATAAAGATGGTCGTCGACCGGATCCAGACAATATAAATGCTATCAAAAATATGCCCAGACCGACTGAGGTTACAACCCTTCGTTCATTCTTGGGGATGATTGGTTATTATAGTATGTTCGTACCCCAGATGTATAAATTGCGACAACCATTAAATCAACTTTTGATGGCTAATACAACATGGCACTGGACAAAAGAATGCCAAGATTCTTTCGATGAAATAAAAAGGATTTTATCTTCTAAACTGTTGCTGACTCATTATAATCCAAAGCTTGAAATAATTGTAGCCGCCGATGCTTCAAACTATGGAATTGGAGCCGTTATCAGTCATCGTTTTCCTGATGGTAAAGAAAAGCCAATTGCTCATGCATCCCGAACTCTTAACTCAGCCGAACGAAAATATAGTCAGATTGAGAAGGAAGGATTAGCTTTAGTTTTTGCAGTAAAGAAATTTCATAAAATGATTTATGGTCGTCGATTTACGCTTTTAACAGACCACAAGCCGCTTTTATCTATATTTGGATCAAAGTCAGGTATTCCTGCTTATACAGCGAATCGGTTACAACGCTGGGCTATTACGTTGCTTGCTTATGATTTCCAAATCCTATATAAATCAACTGAAAAGTTTGGACAAGCTGATGCTTTATCTAGATTAATTGCTAATCAGAAGCAGAAAAGTGAAGATTCTATTATTGCAACGATATCGTTGGAGAATGATGTTCACCATATACTACAAGTTGCCATAAAAGCAACACCGTTATCCTGTGAAGACATTAAACGTTATACTCAAGAAGATGATGAATTGAAGCAGATTATTAGATACCTCGAACATGGTTGGCCTGCCCATATAGACGACAAAAATATTGAACAGTATTCCCACCGTCGGAATTCCCTATCACTTGTGGATGGATGCTTGATGTTTGGGAATCGAGTAATCGTACCCATAAATTTACGCCGTAAGGTGATGTCACAACTGCATGCCGCACACCCAGGGGTAGCAAGGATGAAGGCACTTGCACGTGGATATGTATATTGGCCGAATATTGACGCTCAGATCAAAGAATATGTTGAGAGATGTTCTGCGTGTGCAAAAGCTATCAAAGCCCCTCGTAAGACAGAAATGCAGAGTTGGGGGACACCAACAAATCCATGGTCAAGAGTACACGTAGATTTCGCCGGTCCCATAAACGGAAAACAGTACTTAGTGATGGTTGATGCTTTCTCAAAATGGCCAGAAATCCACTACGTAAAGTCTCTTTCTACAAAAGCTACTATTGAAAAACTGAGACAAGTATTTAGCTGTTTTGGGTGTCCAGATGTATTAGTATCTGATAATGGACCACAGTTCACCTCCGCTGAATTCTCGAAGTTCTGCGTCGCCAACGCTGTTAGGCATATAAAGACACCCCCATATCATCCACAGTCAAACGGTCTAGTCGAGAGGTTCGTAGATACATTTAAAAGAGCGCTACTTAAAGCCGAGGGAGAAGGTGAAATAGACGAGATGATTCAAAGATTTCTACAGACATACCGAGCAACACCAAACCCAACAACAAATAATCAAGAAAGCCCAGCAGAAGCAATTTTTGGGAGAAAGATTAGAATACCTATGGAGCAAATGAAACCAAAGCTTAGAGCCAACCTCCGAAAGAACAAACGAATGGAACAGCAATTCAACAAGCGGCACGGTGCATTGCCCAGAAGGTTTAAGGTGGGACAAGCGGTAATAACAAGAGATTTCACGGGAGTAAAGCCAACTTGGAAGTTTGGCATAATAATACGAAAAAAAGGGAAAGTTATCTACGAAGTAAAAGTTGGAAAAAGATATGGGTGAGACATGCAAACCAGATACAGCCAACCAGACAAGAACGAGAGACAGAAATGCTACAAAGTCGAATATACCAATAAATATATTAACTGAGTCGAATAATGAAATTAAAAATGATCCGAATAATAACAAGACGTGTGAAACACTCCCAAGGAGGTCGCAGCGCATCAGACGAAAACCCAATCGAATAAAAATAAATCCTAAGGATCATTATTATCTCTAATGCTTCAAAAAAGGGGAGGTGTTATATCCGGTGAAGATTAAATTACAGGTAATTCCAAGGACTATTCATGGACTAATATTCTATAAATATTCTTATTGTGTATCACTTCAACAATTACATTATGTATATTTATATTCCTCTTATTACAAGCTTTATTTTGACCTATAATTTATTATTGTACGATTTACGGTTCTTAAGTTATGTTCAGTTTATTAACTACTGCCTCCCACATTCACAGCCACTTTTTGGCTTATTTGTGTACAAATATTATTTCCTATTTTATGGTACGTTGCGGTCTGTGTGATTGATATATAAACCAAGTATGCCTGAAATAAACGATCTGATCTCTGATTCGGAAGCTGGTATTGTGTTCTGGACTCAAGTGGAAGGGCTCGTAGGACATAGGACCAATAAGGACGCTAAACTGCCCACACCGGTTGAACGTCATTGGTTGGCCTAGTGTGAAGATTCGTATAAGTCGTATTCGGATTGGTAGATAAATCGTGTGATAGAAAAACCAGACACCCAAGGTCATAACACGGACGTCAAGACAGCTCAACTGTAAGGGGCTGAAACTTGGAGAACTACCACAACCATCATCAAAATGTACAAGTATTTATAAACAACTGTCTACGTAAGATACTAAATGCCTGTTGGCAGGATACCATCAGCAACAGTCTACTGTGGGAGAGAACAAACCAACTTCCAACTGAGAAGGAAATCAGGAAAAGACGTCGGTGGTTGATAGGACACCCATTGAGGAAATAACCAAACTGCATCATTAAACAAGCACTAACTTGTAATGCTCAAAGGAAACGGAAAAGAGGATGGCCAAAGAACACACTGCTCCGAGAACTGGAAGCAGATATGAAAAGGATAAATAGAAATCGGAAAGGATTGCCAAGGACAGAGTTGGATGGAGAGTGCTGGTGAGCGGCCTATGCTCCTCCATGAGGGGTAACATGCTTTAGTAAGTTATATGCAGTCTATTTAGATAGATTTATTCAATGGTGTTTCTGTTCTTCTCTTGTGTTTGTAGGGATTTTTCCGAATCATTATCCATTCACATGTTTTAAGTCAATATTTTATATGATTAACGGGGAAATAAAATGGTGCACGGTGTGTGCGAATTATGTTCCTGTTTATATTACACATACAGTCATTCAATGTTCGTCGTTACTTATATAAATAAGTGAAATGCTTGATATTGATTCTTTTCAGATTAAACGTGTTCACCTTTCTTCGTTTCCATTCACTGTGGAAAATGGTTTGCTCACCTCCAATTTGAAATTAGTGAGATCTCGACTACGGGAAACATTTTCAGATAAATTACATTTATTGTACGAAGAAGCGTGCTCATAATATAATATTACGCCTTTATTTCTACTGAAATTTGAAATATTTAGTGAGATTCATAGATAAATAAATATTTCTTTAGAAAATTCACATCCTTCGCACTAACACTTTATATTCACTTCTATACAAATCATTATGAATTAACTACCTAAAGTTTTCCCATGTCTTTTGTTCCTTAATCCTGTAACGGATACGGTGAATATCATGCACCCATGTATTTTTGTTTGAATGAGATCCATGTTTTTCTGGTACTGAAATTTTGTGTGGAATATGTTTCAGTATTACTTATTTGTTTATTTTTATTCTTATATCAACGCTATTTGACGTCCGATGTAACATGAATTTATCGTAATATCACGTAGGTTATGTCCATTGGAGATGTATCTTAGGGCCAAAAGATAATTATTTCTTTTCTCCATAAGGAACGTTTACTAGCTGTTTGTGCTCAAGCAGTTCTTATGTATGGTTGGTTTCTAGATGTTGATCCTTTCCTAACCGGATAGTTTACTGTCTTCTATTTCCGAGCTCGTTTTTATCTGGCTTTCGAACAACGTGTTGACAAATCCGTCCTATGATTACAACACACTGACACTAGTCACTCTTACCTAGTTTACCAGTCGCGCTTTCATACCATTGTGAAAATCACAGATTATTGTATGCAAAAAAAATCAAGATGCTCTGTTATCCAGTCCTGATCCTCCAACCAACATTATATTTCTTCACTGGCCTACTTTTGCAGTGATTGTTCCGTAATAATGGTATCATAAATACATAGAGAATTTGGATGATATGGTTCAGAATTGATCTCAATGACATAGATGCATTAACTGTTTCACTTCTCTTAAATCTTGAGTTTTAAGGTTGGGTCATTTTTTTTATTTCTTCGATTTATTGTTTATGCCAAATTTTTGTGATGCTGCTGGCATGATGCAATTTCCGCTACTCTTTTTCTTGATAATTTCATCCGACTACGTTCATGTATTGTAATGATTCCAACCAATGCACATAAGCGTTAGGTACCGAAACTTTTGGTTTTGGGCGCTTAAGCTTTCATTTGGATCGGGAACAGTCCATTAAAAACGCCACTAACATCAGTGCAGTTCCGCCGTAGTTCTATCACTTCCTAATATCACCAGTATCTAATAAACGGATCTCTCCGGTTTCATATCAATTTTTCTTCATCCCAAATCTTTGTGAAAGGAAAGTAGGGCATCTTTACAGTTGCTTATGTTTCTAACTTCAGTGCTTTAGCTAGTAATTGTCTGGTGCTCTGCAGTTCTTGATTTGTGTAATGAATTTGATGGTTTCTTCCATTGTTGGTCGGGTTCCAGGTATTAGCTTATATACATTTCTTTAAACCTTTTACGATAGCTCTCTGTGTGTTTAGGTAAGGGCTAAATGCTTGTATGCAATACTTCAGTTTTTATCAAGTGAACACCACAAAGTCAGGAATGGAAGCTCTACGTAACGGCTATAAGTTTTCAAGACATTTACCATATATTGCATGGCAGTGCTCAGTAGTCTTCAAATATTGGATGATATTGACTCCTGCATCATTTATTGTCTGAACAACGGGTAGCTCGACGTTGTTCGCTGTGTATGTATTTGTACCCTGGTGACCAATATACATCACAATACATTTGGAAACGTTTAAGTGCAAGTACCGAATTCTAAATAATTCAAATCGTTGCTATACGTATTTCTGTGGCTATGAACTGTCCTCTTAGTGTTGTATCGCTCTCCGTATTTTGATATTCTCTGTGTGTAACAAGATCGATAATAATAGAAGACTGAGAAGGTCATTTGCATATAGAGACAATAACACTGGTCCCCAAACTACCATGGGAGATCCCACTAGGAACTTTTCATCCAGACAACTTGCGGTCAACCGATACTCTTTGTTGCTTTTGATTTTTGAGAACATACCAAATTTATTGTGCTTTTAGTTTGTCGAGATAATCATATTTTCATCTAGATAATTAAACTACTGGTTACGAATTCCGTTGTTTAAATTTGTCACATCTATATTTGAACTTGCTAGGTGACAGTTTGTAGGTTTATTGCCAGTACTTTTTTATTCGGACTAAATTCTCAATGTGAGTTTTCCGGTCTCTCGGTAATCGGCGTTGTTATGGATGGTCTTACTCTTATGCCTTTAGAATTGGGGATAATGTTTCACAATCTGTCTTGGATTTTAGTTTTCCTTTTATCTTGGTCTCAAATTCTGTACATCGAATTCCTTAATCCGATAATATCCATTTATGCGTTATGAAAAATAATGTTCTTTATAGTAAGAACGGGACCTACACGAATTATAAATTCTCGAAAGGCTTTGATAGTACCTGGATGTTTGTACTAATTTTCTCCTGCTTGTAACGTTGTTGTCTCACCTTACTATTGTGGCATGCTTTCTATTTTTCTTTACTCATGTTGTATGGCACTTTGTAGGACTCCATAATGAACTTTTTGTTATACTGACTTGTAGATTTTCTTTTTGCTAAGACAAAAGTACTTCTGGCTTTTCGTTATTGAGACTTGTTTCCATTAGCTCCTTATAAACCGTCTCTTGCTTCTTCCATCTGGTGGAAACGAGTAGAAGCCGCTTTGTTGAACTATGGTGTTAAGCTTTTTTGTTTTGCGTGGTATCATTTGTCATGTATACTGTGATGGGTCTTGAAAGTACAACTTCCTTTGATCTTCAAAGCAACCCGTTCGGAATATTCCAGTTTGATTCATTAGTATACTTCGGTTGTTAAGTGTTTAGTTTCTTTTTTATTTGTTTTATTTTCTATTATGATTGGGGTTAATTCGTTGTTTACAGCAATATCTAAACGGAAAACTAATATCGCATGGTCATGCTCACCAGAGGCTGCAATGTGTTAATGATTTGAAGTATCTTCCTCGTTATAACTTATAAGATCTAATAGTTGTGCACCAAATTAACGAGTATTGCCACAACTTGATTTGTAATATAATCATGTAACTCAGTTTCATTGACATCACTCAATTTTTTATTGTATTTTATATTTCTGACATTTCTGAATAAACAACCGTGAGCGCATTCTGAACCATTAAAACCTTTGGATATATGAAAAAGCACTACCTATTTTATTTTCCGTAGCTAATCCCTCAATCAAAACTAAAAGTAGCTATTCATAACTGGTTTCTTGACATCTCCGTAATGCTTTGTTATGATTTGACAGTCACGTAATATCGTCGATTTAAGCGATGAAACTAAGCACTAAAGTAGTCAGTAACCTTGTTAATAACTATTTACACAAATAGTGTTGTTTTCACACGGTTGTCTTTATACAAACGGAGTAAAAGTTAATACCGCTTTTATGGAGATGGGTTGGGAGTTATACTTTCATGGGCTAGAACTTAAACTCTCATGGTTTGTACTCACATTTGTCGTTTTACGAACACCTAGTTAACTGAAGATATCGTTCAGTACACTACCTGTGTACTGCAAACACGAGAAAATCAGGCTGGCTTCAGACATGGTCGTGGCTGCATCGACCACATATTTACTATTCATCAAGTTTGCGTTCTTGTAAACTCACATTAGGGTACACGTATCGTACCGTATGTACCATACCATTTCCCGCCTGTGTGTCGAAACTGATTCATGCAGTTGGTCGTTGGAAGTTCCAGGTAGGACTCAAACTTTCGCGCCACCATCGACGCAGTAAGGAACTTCCGTCATCACATCAGTGATGTTTAACAGACAGTTATGTCCGCTGACTACTGTTGCTGCATCTGATGGTATAGAGACAGATTTTTTGTACCGAGCTTCTTCAAGGAGTTTGGGAGCGTCTTCGGTTATGAAGAATATAAGAATACAAGTGAGAGAACTACAGAGACCTGCGACGTCTTTTTGTGTCATTCGGGGCTTTTTTTGATAGGCCAAATCTGGGCGTTGGGGTTCTGAAGATCTACAGAATTCGGTCGTCAGATGTAGTCAGTCCGTCTACGGAGCTATTTTGAAACGAGACAAACACTACCTCCACCTGTTGGGGAAGCTTAATCAAGAAGACCTCTGTAAACAGGCTCTTGCCAAAGGTTCGTTGACTTATAGAATTGTGATCTACTATAATATTAGTACTGCTCTAATAATAGACCTAATCCTAAATTGTAGATTTGTCATGATATAACTGCCTAATCTATAAGATCTTACATGGAAGTCACACCATCGACTACACCAACTCTTTGTATCGTATCAATTACCAATACATGATGTAGAACAAGGTTAGGCTAGAAAAGGAACGATACATTTAATATGAATAGAAGATATAAGGTAACATTCAATAGGGACCACGCCTGCATGGCCGAGCCATGCCATCCGATCAACTCCAATTCATCCACTTAACTGCTCCCACCTTTTCCATCGTTAGGTATTTCTCCGCGTTAAATATTGAATATCTATTTTCCGAGTAGTCTTGTGTTCAGCTTTGAAGATTGTGTGGTTATGGTCCAATGCCACTACAGACTAATGAGCTTTTACAATCGTGGCAACATTTCTGTTTCTTAGCCATGTTGTAGATCGCTGTTGTTGAAGAGTTGACTTAATCTATATCAGTCGGTTGGATCTCCATGCTTAGAAATAAGCTTTTTAAAGTTTCTTAAGTTTCCGAGACATCACTATTGAACATACTAGGCGTGACGCACCTGGTGAAATCGCGCTGTAATGCTTTGACTACTTCGAGGAATTATGGGCACGAGTCTATCATGTCGTGCTCGTGAAAGCAAATTTCCGTGTAGCATGACCAGGCTGCTATATTGTTGAACCAGAGTGGCATGATTCGATGGGTGGGAGACGAAAAAGTCTTGGTCCTAAACAAATAAGGTATCTCTTCCGTTAAGATTAAGATATAAAAATATGCGAAACTATGAAGACAATAAACAGGGGCGGTAGCGTTAATAACCAGTTAACATGATGGAGGGGGATAACCTGAATCCAGTCGTATCTGTAAGGCAGAAAAGTTTGTGGTTTAGTGGGATTTAAC